TCTGGAAGACCGGCTTGCTCCAAGTTCGAGCGCGTACCTTCTAGTACGGTGCGGATTTCCCGTTCGATGACGGCCTTAGTTTCATCCACGTACTCTCTAGAGGTGTTGTGCCTACATCGGAGTTCCTTCACAGCTGCTCCCAACTCCGGCGCGTTGTCAGAGTAAATAACCCCAACTTCGTCTTGCGTACCGAAAAAGTGCAGAAGGTCCTCATGCACTTGTTCCGATGATTTTGTTGTGCTTGGATACACATACCTGAATTGCGAAAACACATCTTTGATAACAAGCGCCACCCTCTCATCCTGAAATCCAAAGTCCCTCAATCTCTTGTCACGAGATGATCAATGGTAACATGATCCCCATACTTTTCACTGTGTATGGTCGAAGATCCCCCCTTTCTTCGAGCTTGGGGAGATAGCATCTTCGCCTTTTGGCACACTTTGCAGAATGGGTTCTTAGGACGATGGCAGAATTGATGATGGATGCTTTCGGCCTCGGCGCGAAGCCGGGCTTCTTGCGAAATTTCCCTTCCCTCATCTTCTTCCTTGTCACTATCGGGCTCGATTAAGGGGTCGTCTTCGGGTCTTTTGAAAGCAGTAATCGACAGAATTGGCGATCCATCAATCTTTTGATTTTTAACCCTTAGACTTCTGATGTCAACAGAATCCTCAATCTTGCTCCAAGCAGAGTCCTTGTAGATCCAAGTGGTCCTTAGCACGAACCTTGGATGACGAGGTGCAGGTACTCGCAAAGCCTTTGGCCGATGACCAATAATGATCTTTGATGCGGCAATTTCACTGCTAGTGATCCAACCTGGCTTGGCTAAATCTTTAGGCTTGATTGCAATTGGTGGTGCGGCATTGATTGCTTCTTCTATCTCGGAGTCGCTATGAACGACTCTTTCATCCCCGGCCGGTCCTCTCGGACGGCTTTCTACTGGAAACCCGAAGACTCGTCCTCCGCAGGTGCCGCCAGTTCAACCTTGACTGTACCGGCGTTAAACACCTGAGTTCCAGCAGATTTCTGGGAATCATCAGCACTTGCTGGGCTCGCTACCGAGTCATCATTCGAGATCACTGGGACTCTACCCTTCATCTTACACTTGATGACTTTACCATCGGGAGCTATGAAGTATGGAACCTTGCCCGCAGGCCAATGGAAATCATATCCATCGTCCATGCATCTTCTCCCAACAGAACAAACCGGTGGCGTGCTTTCCAGTAGATAGCACTCAATGTTTTGCTTCAGTTCAGGCATCGGGATGTTGGTTGACTTGATTCCCTGAACTGGACCATTAGCTGTAATCAAGTTGACCGGCCTACTAGCGTTTTCGATGGGAGCCTCTGGATAGTAGATGGAGTGATCGTGCCTACTGATCAGATCTTCTTCACTGCCAGTATCGGCGAGGAATTCTAATCCCGCATTAAAGCTAGAGCATGCTGTCCTTTCAACGCTAGAACACAGCTCGCACTTCAACACTGCAACTGGGATCTCACCCTCTTCACAGTCATCTGTGCACTCGTACTCACAGTGGCTTTCAATCCCATTGAGCATACAGGACATGATCCTGGCAAGCTCGTTCGCTGTTCTTATGGCCGTGCTTAGGTCCTGAACTGGAGGCTTTGGGCAACTTTCAGCATCCAAGTAACAAACTTCGAAAGTTCGCGGTTTGGTCCTATGCTTCTTACCCTTACCATCCAATGGAATCTCCCGAATGCTTGGCTTCTCCTTGAACCTTAGTTTCTTGAACGTTCCTGAAGCATCACCCTTAACGCCTTGCCCATTGGGCACAGCTGCCAGCGCATACGAAATGCAACAAGCTGCCGTGCGTCCGCCAGACTTTTCCTTGCTCTTGGACCTGCCCCTGTGTTTCTTTTCCTTCTTTGCTTTAGGATCCGGGGTCGGGCTCCTAGGCTTTTCATCGTTCTTCGCAGGGGCGGCCTGCTCGGTAGGAGCGGCGTCAGTTGGATTGGGCTTATCTTGATGCAGGAACCTACAGTCTTTGCCTTTGTTGCACTTACCTTTCTTCCAAAAGGTGCAAATCGCGTTGATCTTCTTCTGAGGCGTTCGATGAGGACTTGGGGATCTTGACTTTGGTTTGTGGAGAAACTTACACTTGTCGCCTCTTGTGCATTTTCCTTTCTGGAAGTCGTAACAAACCTGTTGTGTTTTGGGACTCTGAGATCTAGGCGGTGTTCGTTGGCTCGATCCTTTGCTGCTTGTTCTGGATTTTGAGCTACTTCGGGACATGCTTCTTCCACGGCCTCCTCGCGAAGAGGGGCGACGCTCAGATCCGTACGCTGGAGCCCCGTATCTATCGCCATGCGACTTAGCGATGCGATCACGATTCTTGCGCATACGCTCTCTAGTCAGATGCTCCCTAATGGCATTGACGAGGAATTCATACGTGTGTACAGGGTTTCCTTCTTTTGCCCTGTCGTACAGCTGAAGATCGTACTTGATGTGGTGGGATTTCCGAATTTCCCTCAGCAAAATGTCCCTCAAAGTAACCTCATCCGGAACATGACTCATTCCAGCAATCACCGACTCGAAGTTGTAAAGGAAGGTAGCCAAGTCGTCCCCAACCAACTTCACTTTTAAAAGGTCCTCTACGCTATAGAGGCTTCCGACTTCTTCATTAGTCTTAAAGTGTTGGTGAAACATCCACAATACTTGTCTTCCCCTGACGGCACGTCCTCCTGTGGCCTCTGTTTCCTTGAAGTTTAGGACTTGCCTTGAAATCTCTCCTCTAGCGACTCTGGTAAGTGCAGCCAACAACTTCGTGTCCAATGTTAAGAATTTCCCAGTGTCATGTAAGGACTTGAGGGTAGCCTCTTTATCATATACTTCCTGCACCCAGCGAAATGCCTCATCCGGGCGATCGCTCGCAGCCCGCACAATCTCGCGGACCGAGATCCGCCACGATCGGTAGGTCTCTGGATTAGGGTAATCGGGAAGCTTGATGCTTTCGGCTTCTTTCACCTTTGGTTTGCCCTCTTCCTCTTCGGTCTTAGGGGTAAGCAAGCGTGCTGCCCTAATCAATGCCTCAGCTCCGAAATCAACATGTGGAACCCCGTCTGGATCAACAGTCGCCGGCTTACCAGTTTGGGCAGCTTTAGGAGACTTTTCCTTTTGTGGCTCTCTGTTCTCAAACCCAGGTGGTACAGAAGTTCCTTGCGGAGGTTCCTGAGCTTGCGGCGTTCTTCCGAAGATGTCCTTCATGTTCTCGGGAATCTCAAATGGATTGGAGAACGGGATAGTAGGATTAGGTCCTGGCTTCGGCGTGGCATGTTGTTTGCCCGCTTCGTCCGCATTGGCTTCCATTCTTAAGGCTCGTTCTGCGGCAGCCAGTTCATCCTGCAGTCTGTCGTTTTGTGCACTCATTTCGGCGATTTCAGTAATGAAACGCCGTTCCATACTCGCTTCGGTTTCTTCAAGGACTTGTTTGAATCGGATTCCAAGAAAGTCAAGGTGTTGTGCTTTGTTGCGTTCGCTTTCAGCAATCAGAGTGGTTCTGAGCTTAGCGATTTCCGACTGATGTCGTTGTTGGAAAATTGATTCCAGAATGTTCATTTCATTCCTGCATGTTGCAACTTCGTTCAACAAAAACTTTTCCCTTTGGGATGCGTTGAACTCAAATTCCGCAAACTGTGCTTCGCATTCTGCCATCTTCACCTCATGAAGGCGCTCGGCCTGTTCAGCCATGCCAGCCATTCTCACAAGATTATCATGCGATTGTTGGTTCAGAATGCTTGCGTGTCTTCTTTCAGCATCTGCCTCCGTTCGCTCTATTGCCATTCTTTGTTGTTCGGCTGTTTCACCCTGGTTCACAACATTGTACAAGGTATACTGCACGTTTGAGATATCGACCGTTGGATTTGATACAAATGGAGATAGGGTAGGACCCACTGGACCGAAGATCCTATCAAGTGCTTGGGATCCTGAGCTCGATGCCATAGGGCCCGCGCCAGCTGCTGTGAGTTGTTCATCAAGCAGTCGATCTCTTGTTTCGTCGTCCATCTCGTCCGATGATACTTCAGTTGTTTCTCCCTTCTCAGTAGTGAGCAGAGAGGGCGAAGTACTCATGTACCAGTGTGAATACCAGTGTAAGAATACCACGGAGACAAAGTCAGCGAATACGGCTGATAACCTATAGAATACACCAAAACCGTTAAGCCATGAGCGGTCGCGCTAACCTTTTACTCAGAGGGCTTGGGCACAATAGTCAGCGGTATATAGTACACAACATGATGACTGTACACGACCATACAAACTCCTACGCAAGCTGCGATGCAAAACTACACAGGAGTCACAAAGTGAGAGCTTTGAAAGCGAAAAGAAGGCTGACTTGGGCATTTGCAGACTGTAGAAGGAATCATCGATGAGAATGGTGGCGACAGCATCTGGATCTGGGTGCAAGCTTGACTACATCCTCAGAACAAAACCGGTCTCCTTTACGGTCTCCTCAAAGATGCTTCACGAGGGCGGTGCCATCGGGATCAGTCGCGGCCTTCTCCACCGACTGAAGGAAGTACCCCTCGACCTGGGCTTTGCAGAGGCAAGCACAAGGGCCTGTATCTTGGCACGGGCTGGCGTTGGGCTCTATGAACAGAGCCTCTTAGCAGGGTCAGAAGGTGTCTGCAGACCTGTAAGACTAAGCACCATGCCTCCAAGCCTGCACTCTACACCAAGCCCAACACACGCTTGAAGAGTTGCACCTTCGACTCGACAGCTGCGCGCCGCCGATTGCAAAGCAGGACCTCGAGACTCCCAGGCACAGCTTCGCACAACATCGAAGAACTGACAACTAAGACAAAGCGCTGCTATGTGAGGAGCTCTATGCTCTGCCATGCTCGTTCTGTATCAGAAGTAGGCACCGACAATATCCAGTCATCTATGAACCTACAACTATGCACAATGCTGGTCCCACGGATCCCTTGTTGACGTCGACATGGAGGAGCTACTTTGAGGAGGCTGCAGCCAACAGCACCGGCCTGCACCTGTTGCGCATCCTGCTCGCAGGGGTCGCCACCTGGCAAGACACTTCGCAGCCGCGCTCCACTCTGAAAGGCTCTTGAGCCAGCGCAGCGAGAATTGCTATGATCATCATTCTCATTGAATTCCTGCTGTGTTGATGTGCAATCGCACCTGCCCAGCACAGCAGCACCACAGCAGCACCACAGCAGCACACTGTCAATGCTCGATAAGCCAAAGTTTCGTATCAACGAAGGAACCCACAATACCCCATCACATAGCCACACGTGGTCATGCCCTTCCAAAGCTCCGAAACCCGCAGACCAGATGAACCAAAGTAATCACAAGCAACCTTCCCCTAAGCCTGTTTCGAAGCGCAGCCGCTGGTGTCACAACGACTTTGAGCCGAATGCTTCATCAGGGCATTTAGCCTCAGCTGAGCCTGTCTGTAGCCACATGCATGGTCTTTAAGCCTCTTGCCAGTGGCATTAGCTGCGAATTCCGCACTCCGCAGAACTCACCCTTTCCTACGCTTGGAATGCAACGAGTCAGATGCGGTCTATTGCGGGATGACCCTTTGGATTCCTCACGGGGTTTTCATTTTGTTGAAGACATGATACCGTGCGGAAAAGGCCATCTTTCCGTAGAAAGTATGCATAAGAATTGCGCGACCCCGCTGTCTCAGCCAAAGGTTTGATCATCGTTTTGCTTTGATCTTGAAGTGCTTGTTAAGCAGTCTAGGCATCAGAGCATTGACGAAGATCAAAATCGGCTGGTACTCTTTCTCAATCAGACATTTTGTGAAAGTTGCTTCTGCTACTTCAAAATCCGTGGGAATTAGGGTTGGATCTAGCAAGGTTTTTGGGCTTTCTGCCCGTCCCTCTCGCCGGCTTACATCCCCACCCGAGCTTTCTCGTCCAGGGTCATGCGGACGAAACCTGATATGCGAGCTTTCCAAAATTACATTGTTGCGAGTGCCATATACTGACCAACTTTCATCAAAATCTGTTCTACGCGTTCGGGACCCGTTGTTTCGCAAATGCCGCCGTTATGTGACCCTGACCTTGATTACATGCATGTTTGGGTAAAGCACACGGACTGTATCCGATCGGACTCCTGTTCGCACTTGGACATGCTGGTGATGACCCTTGATTTTCCGATCAGCCGTGCTCTCGCATGCGCCGAAACTCGTTCGAGAAGAAAGCACGACCTGGCGTGTGTGAATGTTCAAACTGATTTCAAATCACAAGAACCCTTTCCCCGTAGAATCTCGTTGCAATGGCTTGCAAATGAAGACACTCTCACACAAAAACACGATTATCCCCTCAGCATTACTGGGACAACTACGTAAGCTTTAAGGAGAACACGGCTTCTCACTCCCCAAGGTCTTCTCAAACAAGTTCTACGACAACTGCCAAGATCTTCGGCTGCTCCACAGGTTTTTCAATCAGTTCTTGGGCAAGGCAACCCAGGGTTTCGATATAATAAATCTACAGATATACATATACATATACTTAATGTATTTATTTATATACATATATGTACATATACAGACAGATATGTGTACAGCGATGTATACAAATTTGCGAAACACGCACATGTGTTTTGCTTCATTCTGACAGAACAGTGATCTCCATCATGGGCAATGCCATCATGATGCACATAATGACAGTAACGGTAGTGACAATGTTCATCATCGCGAGAAACTCATTCTCACTATCTTATCAGAGCACAAGATCCCAAAAGCTTGATTACGGGACCTCCTTAGTCCCAAATACCCTACCTCGCATCCGCTTTCAGCTCCCTTATGCTCCCATTGCATCTCCCTTCAAGAAGCAACCGCTCCGAATTCGGATTCATGGGTGATCCAAGGCTCAGATCGAATCTGCTAGAAAAAACACGGCTTCTTGGGGTCCAGGCTTATAACAACGAGTATTTCGAATCCACCTGTAGGGTGGGATTTCTGACGCCCGGTTTAAAGAAGGCAAACTGTCCTAAGTCTATGTTGGTCGTTTGAAAGTTACAGAGAAAAGTTTGGGGTGATCTGGCTTTGCCGTGATTTCAATGTTGCAAATGGGGGACACTGCAAGGACATCCGGGGGTCATAGGACCGGAGGCGCACTGCATGTGGCACTTTGCGGGTGTGCGAGTGGCCATACGAATATGTTCTTTGTACATCTGTAATTCTTTAATGTAACGTCTATGGTAAACCATAACCTAACGTAATGTACTGTACTAGGGTGTATAGCATCGTCTAATGTAATGATCGATGTTAGGTACCGACTCCACGAAACCTGACTCGTAGTGTGACTGAACTCTTGATATCAAGAGCGACATACCGGAATCGCCGCAGGCCTCGCCGCCGAAGACCCAGACGACCGGTTCCTCTGAAGTCCGGCTAGCGATTGCCTGTGCGCATGCCCAGTTTTGATTTCGTGCGTGTATCGCTTGCTGATTTTTCTAAGGTCTGCAGGGGGCGAGAACACACCCCACACCCACACCAGCACCACAGGGGGGGGGAGGCATCCTGGACCATGGGGGGGGGGGGGCGGGGAGCGCGTGACCATATATAGTCCAGGAGTTCGGGGCAGAAACTGCATTGCAGGACAACTGTGGAAAACCGGCCGACGCCAGCAAGACTTGTTTGTTCACCGCAGCGTGACGAAAGCATCCCCTTCCCAGCGCGAGGGTTCCAGACTGTGCGGAATGGCATGCAGAAGGCATGTCCGCGAGATGTCCGCCCGCTGTCGACGCACAAGGACTCCTGGCCGCAGCAACAAGCCATTGAAAACCACACGTTGCAAGCTACATCCCCGCGGACAGCCGCGGACACAGAGACATATGTCAGCTGCTGTTAAAACACATATGGGAGCTATACTTACCTCAAGAGTACGCGGACATTCGCGGACACACATCTGTTGCTTTTCCCGTCACCGCGGACATATGCGAGTCATATATATATATATATGTATATATATACACACATATATATATATATATACTACGAACGCCCGCGGACACATTGCGGACAGCGGGCGGACATCTCGCGGACACGCCTTCTGCATGCCATTCCGCACTTTCTGGAACCATAATCCTCGTCCAGCAGCATGATCAAAAACCTGTATACCTCTGCTACTTCCAACAAACACTTTAGCCCCAAGCACCCGCGTCACATTAACGGAGACAATTACGTGAATGAACCAACTAAAAAAACCTACGCGCACAGTCGGCCACATTGTCTGCAACGAGATGAAAGACCCAGTCGACCCGAAAAAGCTGCGTGCAGCATCGAAAAAACACTTCTGAATGAGCACAGGGCGAAAAGATCTTACAAAAACAGTACATGCATAAGTACAGATAAGTATGAAATAAGTATGATAACTTTTTCGCGTCTTGTTTATAAGTTATCTGGTAACCCGTCCAAGTCTCCTGACACTTAACCAAAGTCAGTAAACTTGTAACCTAGGTTATAGGGTTTGTAACCCTGGTTACAGCATTTGTAACTTGGGTTACAAGTCGGGGAACCTCACAGCATCTTACTGCACATGAACGAAAGCTGGGTACGTGCACCGTCAATGAAGATCCAAACTCGGTAAATGCATGTGCGGTGCGGGGCGGAAGGGAGACCTTCTATGGCGTAAATCCCAGAATTCACAGATCGGTCGCGCCATCCACGACGATCAAAACTGGGTACGCGCACATTCAAGATTTGGGAATTTCCTCACTCGGTACAAGTGTCTGGCGGTCCATGCGGGCCTATAAAAGGGTACGAAGTCCAAACTCGGTACGCGCATCTGCGGCGCGGGGAAGAGGTGGGACCTTGGAAAGGTCAGACTTCGGTACGCGCACGTGGGCCCAAGATCAAAACTGGGTACGAAGATCCAAACTCGGTACGCGCATCCGCGGCGCGGGGCAGAGGGGAGACCTTTCAAAATCACAATTGGATACACGCACGAAATCTAAAGTGGATACGCGCACAGGCAGTCGGCACACGCACGAAAATCAAATCTGGGTACGTGCACCGTCCATGAAGATCCAAACTCGGTACCCGGTACCGGCATGTGCGGTGCGGGGCGGAAGGGAGACCTTCTGGTGCAAATCACAGATCGGTCGTGCGGGACGGACGGGACACCGCGACGATCACATCTGGGAGCACACAGGCCCCCCCCCTCCCCCGCCCCCTACCGGGGGGGGCTGGAAACGCCAGACGCCTGACCATATATACTTCTCGCTTTTTCTGATCTTACATACCGAGGTGCATTATCAACTTGTGTTTGAAATCTGCACAGCTGTTCCTGCGAAGTTGCTGAGTTTATGTTTGTGTTGGAGACGACAAGACAAAAAGTTATCCTACTTATAAGTCAATTGTAAGTTCGGTTACAAGAAGACATCATAAGTTAATAGTAACCTCATTTATAGGACTTGTAACAGAGGGAACCTCACAGTGTGTAGGGATGGGGGCTTCGGTTTCTTCGCCGATGGCTGCGGGTCTAGAACGTAGAGATGCGGCTTCCCAAGCCTCAAAGCTTTGTGCCTTAGATTTAGGGTACGGGTTCTGGTTTGGGGCCCATGACGTTGGGCTTCAACATGCTTCAACGCACTGGGTCCGCTAGACAATCACAATGAAATGGTTGTTGCCTGCTGCTTGGGGCTCGGGTGCCAAATCCTGCCGACACAACAGCTGAAGACGCTAGCTCGACAACTCTGCATACTCAAAGTATTACATGACCGTGCAGACAGGGCATGCGAGACACAAGTATAGTCTACTTCCACGTGGCCAGTGGATTGTCAACCCAAGCGAGGTGTGGTCGCTAGGAGGGCTGTCGTGTTACATTTGGAAGCCCTGAAGTCAGAGGAACCCAACAAAGCATCGCCACAGACGGTCCATACGTGTTTGCATCCGGGCCTGAATCTTACACCCGTCGCAAAACGACCTCCCTTGATACCTCAATCCGCGGCTGTACAGGAGACAACATGAGACAACAAAGGGCAACGTCCGACACAGTATTCGATCCGTCTTGCGATCAAGATCTTGTCTTCTTCGTGAACCCTGAACCTGAACTAAAACCCTGCCTACACTCCAACGACCAAATCCACTAAACGCCCGACTGCTCTGCTGCATTGGCAAGCACCCTCAAAACCTCAAGCTTCACTCTATTTCGCCCAGCCCCATGACACTACATCCTCACCGTCCCCTAACCCGTGAATGCCTAAATCCAATCAATCTTGCACATACCCTAAATCCTAAACCCTCGGCTGGTGCGAAAAGGCACTCGACGAACCTGTCTTAGGCTCAGGTTTCAGGGTTTAGGGCTAACAATGCGTGGGGATTTGCAATTGATGATATCGCTGCTCACCCCACAAAGACACAAAGAGCTAGTCGATGTGGTAAATATATGCGATCAGCCACTCTGTCAGGTTGCACCACGCTTCCACTCGAACAATCACACAACAATCAACAATCCGTTGCCAGGGACTGCTCGGAATACGGATTCTGTAGAAAAACGGGTGAACTCTAGCGTTTAGCTATTGCTCAGGTTCTTGAGCCAAACGACATTGCATCGTAGGCGTTGGCGTAATGCTGCGAAACCGATCGACAATACGCAGCCACGCTGACCCGGTGGGTAACCAAAGCGAAAGGTTGAAGAAGGTCGACGAGATGCCACTTTGGAACAGCATGGTGTGTGAGAGTGCTGACATGAGCAGCATGAGGAACCGCCAGAGCAAATTCTTGCGAGATTGGAGATTTCGGGCCAATGAGGCGGGAACAAAGTGGTCATGGACGAGGCTATCACGCCTCGTCGCCAAAGAATTCCACGTCATCAATCCCACAACAGAGCACTTGTATGCCCCAGCATCATTACCATGCCTTCCAAAGCTGTTTGCAAGTCTCGTTTGCTCATGTCCCAAACTTCGCTTATGCACGGGTGACATCAAAGATGCATATCTCACAGTGCCCCATAGAAGACCTACGTTCATTCGGCTCGGTGACTTGAAGGTTGAACTACTCCATAACTTGCATAGTCAAAGGGCTGGCGCTCGGGACTTCTACCAGAGATGAAAGATGATGGCATGGAGAGTTGCAAGGCTGCACTAGCTTTGCTAATCCAGCCGAAGTCCAGTGGAGTCTCTTCACATGTAGATGATCTTGAGGTTCTCAGCACAGATGAGCGCGTTGAGAGATTGAGGGGCAAGTTGAAGGCGGCCGGGTTGAATGTTTCCATAGAAGGTCGGTGCACTGCTTAAGGAGGCGAGTGTCACTTCTGCAAGTGCAAACTCACCGGCACGGGTGAGGGAATCCTGGTGAGCCATTCGGTATAGATAAGCTTGGGAGTCCAGCGAGCCGCTGGCAATTCAACACCGTGCCCCTTGAATCCGCATGACGTCAAAGATGAAACACCAGTGGATGAAGAACAACATAGCATCTATCGGACTGCAGTGGGAGGGCTACTTTTATCTAGGGCAGGATCGACCGGAGTGCCTGTTTGCCATCAAGGTTTTGAGCGGAAAGTGCACATGCCCGACAGAACATGAGTGGAACCTCCTGCGACATTTGGGGAAGGCAAACACCAATCAAGGCATTCTCCTGACCCCGTGCACTCCAGGACGGACTGTGCAGCAGAGATGCTTGGGTTCAGATGCCAAGTTGAAGCCCAAAGATAGCTTCTTCGGCAAAGTGGTCATTTGATTGAGGCCATCAAGGACGCTTCGTGGGCAGGTGAGAGAGATCGTAAGTCCATCAGTGCCATGTGCACGTTGCATGCCTGCAACAGACGGCAGAGATGCATTACTCTCAGCAGTTGTGAAGCAGAACTGCATAGATCCTTGGCGACTGTTCAAGAGGGCATTTTCCTGAAGCGAGTTCTTGAACATCTTTGTGGAGAGCCTGTTCAGCTTTTGCATAGTCGATTCCTCCAGTTCCCGAGCGGTGATTGCGAGAGAAGGGTTGACACGGATGCGCTACATAGATCTTTCGTACTTGGGGATTCAAGAACGCTACAAAAACGGTGCATTGACCTTGGCCGTAAGTACAGAGTTCTGTTCTCTAGATTTGAATCAGCAACGTATGCGAATGTTGTGATTTATGCTTGGTATTGTGAGGGACGGAGAGCATGTTGGCAAGACCAAATTGAGGATGAGATTGCAAAGCATGAGCTGAAGCGACTGAAGACATGTCGAAGCAATCATGCCACCCAGAACTTGCGGCAACTCCTTCTAGTTGTGCTGGCAACGCCTGGTGAATCAGCAAGTTGGTGTAGTACATGTTCCGGTTTGGGCACGCATGGCCAGTCAACAGCGCTGGCGAAGCTAATCCCCTTTGTACTGGTGATCATGCTGTCAATCGTGGAGGTCATTCTGTATGTGCTCATGCCGAACCTATGTCGAGTCCAGCCACACCTTTCACGCTCCTCAGAAAGTCCGGGTAGCTTGAGGAGCCAATCGAGGCAAACCCAAAGCAAGGAGGAATGTTAGCAATGAATCCAGACTTTCCGCAATTGACATCGAAGTACTTGGGAACGCTTCTCAAGCAAACACATGCACAGCTCAGCAAAGACTTAAAGGACTTCCAAGGAGCCGCATATGACAAAGGATGGACCCCAGTGCGGGACATGGAACATGAACGCCGTCTTTACGGTCAGCTGGTCCGACGAGGCGTTGTTCAAGCTTTGGTTGTCGACGGTTATGCTTCTAATCTTCTTCGGGATGGTTTGGCAAATCGGTACATGGCTTCAGTGGCACATCATCGGGCGAGTCTTTTGGAGCCACCACCACGTAAGCGATCAAGGACAAGCTGAAAGGGGATGTGAACGCAATCTACAACATCATCGAGCACATCATCAAAGAGACGATCGTGAACTACATAGTGGAGAAGAACGAGATCCACTACATCACCGAGGAGAGCGAGATCTACTACATCAAGCAGGCGATCGAGACCTACATCATGGACATCAACGAGACGACCATCATGGACATCAACGGGGTGCACATTATGGACATCAGCGAGACCTACATCCTGAAGATCAGCGTGATCTACAACAACCTGGATATCAACGAGCTCCTCACCCTGAACACCGACAGCGAGATGAACTCTAAAATCATGGACATGAACCACGTGGCTCTGGAGATCAACATCGCGGCGAAGGTGGACACGGAGGACCCCACGATCCACCACATGCGGGATTGGATGAGAATGATCTTAGAGTCAACCGTGCACGACGCGCGAATGACTTCGGCTTTGCAGACCAGCGAGTGCTAGTTGCATCACGGATTGGCTATGCTTTTCATGCTGCCACCTGCAGCTCAATCACGAAAGATGCCAAAGTGGTTGGAAACATGTCAATCAGAACAGCTTTCATTGATGGCTACGAACCATGTCAATTATGCTTGAAGCCCGTGTCCATGCGATTAAGGAATATTCCACCAAACGTCATCGGGACCCGAATCGCTGAGCTTTTGAAGTCCAGTCGTTGTGAGAGTAGTTTGTAATTTTTTGATTGCATCAGCGCAACCTTTTGATTGCATCAGCGCAACCTTTGGAGTTGCAGAGTGGACTGAGTCCACGTTGTGGGTAGAGGTTGTAGCGTAACCATGTGAAACATGTGGGCTACGCATGCGTTACTGATGTGAGCTTCTTTTGAATTTGGCCTTGATCCGAGGACCGTTGAACGAGTCAAGAAGTTGTCGGTAGTGCTGTGGTGCGGCGCCGTTTTTGTACTTATACGTTGTGCTTTGGGATCATAGCGATCTCAAACGTTGGTGTGATTGATAGCTGCAACCGTCAATCATAAATCAAAGGCGGTAACAACTTTTTCCGTAAACCCTAAACCCCACTTTTGCTTACTTGCAACGCTTGTGAGAAGCTTTATGAATTCGGCGGCCCCTGCGGAGCTGTCTCGGGTTCAGGGGGGTTAAGGGGTTTACACTCTCGCAACTCGGAACTGCGCCTGGAGGGCCGGTGGCAGGTCCGCTCCCACACTGGGGAGCAGCTGCATCCGCGGGAAGTCCTGGCGGCCGGCAGGAACGCCCTCCTTAAGACCAAACACCACCCCCAACCAACATCCTGACATACGTGCTGCAAAAAGTTTCCAGGATATTGCACGAGATCATAACTGTTAGTTTAGAGACCACAAGGGGGAGACTCTTGTTTATCATAGAGCCCTATGCTAAGCCTCCGCAAGGTATCGCTTCAGACTCCGAACCCTCAGCCCTAAGCTGTATGGGTTTAGAAGTTATGTCACAGTCCAGGCCTCAGGGCGAATCGCACTGCCACCCAAGCCCCTTTGTATTATTCTCCTAAACGCTAAACTCTTAACCCAAAACCCCAGTCTCCATCCACCCTAAACTGGCCCTAAACCCTTAACCCAAAACCCAGGCGCCGGAAACTCGGAGCACAGTTGCGAAGAACGGGGAGGCCTGCGGATGCAACTGGATCCGGCCCGTGAAATCGCAGAGCGCGCGGTCGCCGGTGTTGTATACGCAGTGTGGGGCCTGCAAGCATGTCATCCCTGTTTTGCCCTGATCTCACAACGACATGGACCTACTCCAATATGCCAGAAAGATTTCAGACAGCAAGGGCATGACAAACTTCAGGGTGGCAGCCACTTCAGTCACATATCTCTGTACGTCAAGGCCCGGGCATTGCTCTCGTGTCCATGAACCACTATGTCAAAACAGTTAACTCATGCAGAAGCTTAGGGGCAATTTCCTGGCACAGGATCGGAGCCGCTCTCCAAGCAGCTGTCCGGGCCCCAAAAACCATGTAATCGAAAAGTTGGCTCTCGCAGCACCTTTCAAACCAGAAGCCCTGAACACTGAATCAAACCTTACCACACAATAGACTCCACTCCCCGGAGCAAAACCAAAATCCGACACCTCTAACTCGGATCCACCTGCTCCGCCTGGACGCAGCGCCACCTCAACATTGCTTTCACCACCCGGGTGTTCAGAAGGAATCTGCAAATGTGGAAAATCGGATTGAGAAGGGTCACTGCCCGTGATCAGACTTGGATGCTACACTTACTCACTGCTTCATGCTGAGCCAGGCACGGGGTTGATGCCCCAAGGCATTGGAACCTCACGCGGAGTGGCAAGTCATATCGGGCAGGAGTCCGGTCAAGATTACAACCCCGCTTCGCAGTCACCATCTACTACCAGGGTCGGCAGCCCTTAAAGCCCGCTCTGCGTCCAAGGCGGAGCCTGCATTGGAAGCTTTAGCGTTGGGACCCCGACCCCTAGCATGATCGGACCCCCGCTACCCCAACCGGCCCTCCCGGAGCCCCACCTTGACTGGGGCGTGACGTGTGCATGCGCCCTTGAGGCTTCCAGACAAGTTTGAGGTTTGTGTTACAAGCACAACATCCTCTAGGGGACTTACCACAAAGCTGTATATCTACCCGCAATCTCCCGACCTACCCATACTGCACCCCTCGATCCCAGAACAGTCAGGTACAACATTCCTACCCCGGCGCAAACTACCCGTGAAGCTTCAAGGTCTGAAGCAATCGCAAGGGATTAGCCAATAGATCTTTGTCGAACACAAAATCCCCCAACAACATGATAAATAACTGCTTGAGCCAATAATGCCAGGAAACAGCCCTTGCCTGCACCTCACGGTGGCTTCGGACTTCGGGCTCCCTCGTCGCGGCCTTCCCGGTTTGAACACAGAGCCGCGCCGATACTTTAAGCACAAATTGCGGTGAGCTTCTCTTACCAGCAGGAGGAGCATCAGAAAAGGGACCATGCATGGACCAGTAATTGAAGCACGCTAACTTCAAGAAGCCCTCTTGAAGCTTTCTCAACCCTATAAGGCCCGTAAGCAAACCCTGTATACAGTAACCCTACACCTCTGAACGACTGCTCTTCAGCCGCACCTCCGAGCTGAGGGACTGGGGAGGCACCTGATCCACATCTTGCTCAGCTGGGGCCTGTGTTGCACGAGCAAGGCGAAGGTTTATCGGGTTCGCTCTCAGGCTTTTTGGATTTTGGTTTAAGGTACGGGTTTCTGGCGGAATCTCACGTGAAGAAGGAGTGTCGTTCGTGGCTGTAGCACGCAAGAGCGTTCCAGTAAATGCAAGCGTGGGAAGCAATAGGCGAATGACCGATAACATGGTCACACCAATGCCACATTCACATCTTGTATGCACTGGCAGGGAAGAAAGAAACAAACGATTACACAAATGTGACATCGACGCCAAGCGGCAGGCAATGTTGTTCACAGCCCTTAATTGCCTACTTGCTTGCTTACTTGCTTACTTACCGACCGCCATCCCTAGCCTAAAGCCCGTGCGTTGAAGCCAATCCTGACGTGCTGTCACTTGCTCTGGACCCATCAAACTTCAGCATGCGTCGTGACTTTGCTCCTGGTGATCTGCATGTGCAAGGACAGCACACTCGTCCCAGTCCTGGCCTCGTCCCAGTCCTGGCTGCACAGCAAAAACATTCATGACTTGAGCGAAATTCAACACCACCAACAGTACACAGGTGATGGGCCGACAGTCTTAGCCCTCTGCTAAGCCGTCTAACCTGCCTGGGAGATGAGCGCTCGCACTTGCCTCGAATGGCTCAGAGCATCAGGCATGGGCCGTTGTGTGCAGTCGGCTTAATCAATTAGCGGAGTTTAGGCCGTGGGGCCGGGCTTTCCAATTCCTAAGGGAAGCGCAGGAAACTCAGAGCACAAAAAGGAGTCCGAACGAAACGTATACCTGAGCCCCATGCAACACAGCCAAAACCCGCAAGTCCAGCATACATTTACCAAGCTCCAACATCGGTATGGGTTCATGTTTCTGTTGTGACAGGCGAGTTACACTTGTGTGCTTGCGGTGATCATAGTGTATGGCAACTGATTTCGTCGCTGAGCTTCGGAGCCTTGCACTTCTTGCTTCGGAAATAGTAATTATGCAGCTTCACAGGAGTGAGACTGCCGAGGCCTGATTGGAATGAAATGCTCAACCCACAAATGAGGTTTGCAAGTCAATCCGGAAAGCAGGGTTCAACCTGCACATGCTTACATCGACAACGCGGATTGTACTGCACACGTGCCGTTCCTTCAGATGCCGCGACGGCTTCCACTCATGTAGCGTAGCACTTGGACTTCTGGGCTGTTGGGAACCGGACATGTGATGTGTAATTGTGGAGTCACACAGTGGAGTCGTTTGTCAAGATGCACATACAGCCATACAGCATGTACAACTCGGAGAATCCGCTTGTAGGCCGGCATTTACCGTCTGTGGGAAATCTTGAGGCTCCTTTTTATTTGCGGTTGCATAGGGAGACCTGGTGGGAATGCTTGGAGAACCACTGGTCCTCTTTATGGGGTGCCTGTTGAATTGCATGCATGAGCGTCTGCCACTCAAATTTCGGACTCAAGGGATCTTGAATGGACCATGATCTTCATAGCGAAACCTGGAGCCTGCACACGAACCTCACGTCTCACAACTCCCACAACCCAAACTCAAATGAGCTGAGCATGGGACTTGCCGCGAGACTTGCCGCACTTGTAAGCGCTCTGCATCTGCAAGCAGTCGTGGACGCAAGCTTTAGGTTTTCATGGGTTTTGTGTTGGGGAATGTGGCAAAGATATGATCCATTCTCCATTGTCAAGCTCGAGAATAAACTGTTCTTGTGGAGGCCTTCACCGCTGTAACCCTCGGACAGGAACTTCATCTTGTACAGAGCTGCAGTCAAGCCCACGCCGTTAGTCCAAATCAACTGCATGCTGGTAAATGCCGACCTCCGGGCTGAGCATGCGCAAGTAAAGCTGCCTGGGCTCGTTCTACGACAACTCAAGAAGCTGCCGGAGATCCACGCTTAGTCCATGGCTTAGGGTTACATCTGTAGCCTAAGCTGATCATTTCGTCTTGGTTAGGATGTATTGAACCGCGGAACCTGTTTACGCGTATGTGTTTATGCAGAAAGAACTTGTAGTAGGACTGCCGCACAAGCCAAGGTATCCTGACACAAATCGTAGCAAAATTCGTCCGTGGTTTTTGCACAGTATACAAGCCAAGGCTCGCAACACATCGTACCCCCTGTCTTCTGTGATGTTTACACAATACACGAACGACGGCTCGCAACAAATGGTACCCAGGAGTCTTCTGTAACCGTTACACAAGACAAAACCAAGGCTCGCAACAAATCGTGTGTCCCAAGTCTTCCGTGATGGTGACACAATGAGCAAGTCCTTTGACAAATCGTATCCACCCTGTCTTCTGTGATTCTACCACAACGCACAATCGTACCTCGCTGACTTTACACAATGCACAAGCCACGGCTCTCAACAAATCGTACCCTGCACAATACACAAGCCAAAGCTCGTAACGAATACTTGAGGATTCAGAAGAACACGGGCATACACAAAATAAAAGATGATACTACCAGGCTTCATGACAAGGCTGCACATTCGGTTCTGGTAGGTAAAGGCAAACCCTGTCGTCCGACCCCTGCCGCTCGCGCAAAAATATCGAAATCAACCCTAGAAACCCTGTGAATCTCACCTTTGGAAGAAACCTCACTTTCAACGACCTTGCAGTTTCAGACTAGAGCACCGAAAGCAGAGCAGGAAGAAAAAAGACACAACAGCTCCACTGCAAGTTTCGCTTCACATCATAGTTATCTGCCAGGAAGCTCTACGGGAATCAAGATCTCTTCCAGCACTTCGTCCAGTTCGTCGGCTGGTGCGACGATAACACCCGCTGCTCGACTCCGATTGCAGAGTTTCGGACCGACATTTCAAGGACACTTGAGGGGAGGCGAGGCTGTCAAAGGTGTCAGAGATGTGAAAGAAGAGAGCCTTCTTGCGTCTGGGCAGTGGCCTAGCTGTGGCGAACATGACGTGCTCTCTGAAATGTATGCTGGTTCGGCGCTTCCGTGCTTCCCGGCCTTGTCTCCATCCTCGAGGTCCAGGTCCGCCGTCATCTCCTTCGGGCCGGCTCAAGCGAATGGCTCATTGGCTCATGCTCGCTCGCGTTTCGTGTTGCGCCCCCCAAAAAAAGTGCAGCCAAAAGGAACGGAACGCGCATCCCACTTAGGGAGGAGCCGAGCATCTGCCAGCTGCATGTGGTAGTAGCGAGGGGGGCAGCACTGACCTGGCCGTGTCAGTCGAGGTCCCAGTCACAGCCCTTTGAAGCGTCAAGCTCTATTGTTTGTCGCTGAACCGGTGCCAGCGCCAGCTTCGAGTACCGAGGACTTTCGAGAGCTGGGACTTTTAGAACTGGAGGTTGCCGTGGGTTTGGTATCGGAAGCTCTACTAAGCAAAGCCTGGGACGATGTGGCCATGGCCCGCGAGCTCCATGAAGTTATGTGTCAGCCTGGGCCATGTCAGCTTTGCCGTCGGATCTCCGGGACGCTGAGGTTGGGTTCGCCGGGTTCACAGTGGGCCTTCCCAGAGTCCCAGCACGCAGTGTTTGATGCGGCCTGGTGCGGAGACTATCGAGTTGGCTAAACGGCTACACTGCAGGAACAGACTTTTTCTGAAGCACTCAACAACGAAAAAAACGCGACTGCAGCGCACTCACTGTCAAGATTTCTCTGCGGTGAGCCCTGTCGCCCGACTGGCTTGTCGACCTTGCAAAGAAAAAGTATGCATTGCGCTTTGCGGCTTTCTTACACATACAAGTCGGCAGCCATAGTTCACCACAATATGCACCACGTGTATGCAAACATGTCTCGGCTTGTTTTCAAGCATCAGGAGGTCTCAAAGACGCATGAAATGCGTGAAGTCCGCTGTGTATGTACACGCTCTGAATGCCACGAATTTTCCACACATCCAATACCTGTAGTACGACCAAGTAGCTTGTTGTCGGCGGAGATCACGTCAAACTTGCGGAGCACGCTGCTCTCCTGCTACGGGGTTTCAGCAGCGTCACGATTCCAATCCTATGTTCACTGCTCACGCATTCAGTACTATGCTTATTTATTTGAGTCAGCAAAGTCTGATAGAGGCTCGGAGAGACCCTCTTGCAAAGGCACGGGCGCGGGGCAGAACAAGCTGACGACACACCTCCGCTGCTTTCTACGTGGCCCTTGCGTCCAGCATCAATGTCATGATCATCACCATTACCATGATTATCACCAGTCCGTGAAGACAATAGCTAGAGGCAAAACTAGCAACCGTCGTGTCGAGCGAGGCTCCGGGACCTCTGCAAGAACCAGCTCGGACATCCGTGCAACCACCATGAACAGAACCCGTGCACAAACTTTCATGAATTCACACGGGCACGTACTGCTGGAGCACACTTATTGCAACACTGAGAATTACTGCTACCGCTGCTGCTGCTGCCCCTACTACCACTGGCTATTGCTACTGCGACTGTCTCTGCTGAAAGTTGGCCAGCCCTGAGATAGATCGACGCACGGTACGAAGCTGCACAACACAGTTTGTGTGAGCAGCTGCCGTTTGTGGATCAAGACGAGCCTGTCAAGGCTCTGCAGCCAGCAATCGTTAGCGATTTACGCCGTGGCCTTAACATGGCTTAACACTACACACCAAGCTGTACTCTGTACGTGTGCAGCTGGTACAGTACAGAACCTTTGGTTCAGCGCGAACGCTTGCACCAGCCGCCCGACGTTCGGTGCTTATAAAGGGCCTAACAGCAGCAGGCCTTTCGGATGACTTTTGGGAGTGAAGCTCGCACTACAGCTAGTGGAACTGCCACCCTTTCCACGGCTACTGCTGATGCTAATGCTCATGCTAATGCCAATGACAGTGCCAGTCCTAGCAGTACTCCTACCAGTCCTAGCACCGCCACCACCACATCACCCACTACCACTACGCCTGCTCGCAAATCTCTAGGCAGTTCGGAGCTTTACGGTGCGTGCCTTCACATCGAAGGCCTCAGCCTCTGCCCTTAGCATTTGGAGGCGGGCTTGTTTTTTCCGTGACAAGCAAGCATGTCCTGCCTGGACCATATCACGATACATTGCTTGGATCCTTATAAACCAAGGAAGTTGCAGAAGTTGCGGCTTGCATGATGGTATCACTGTGTGACCGAGAACAACGGTCCCAAACATTGACATGCTGCCAAGATTAAATGCAAGAGCTGACAGCTTGGCAGCCGGCAAACATGACAATGTTAAATCCTTTATCAGTATGGCGAGCATATCGCTTTGCACGAAAAACGTTGTCATCCCAAAAGTTGCGATGTGTGTGCTGCTCCTTCGGCTGTAGACTGTAGTCGGCTTCTTACTTTCTTCGCATGAAGTCCGGTCTAGTTCAATGCAGCACCTACAGGCCCCAAACACCCTCATGCCATCAACATTCTGCAACGATCATGCATCTTCTGGTATCGTCGTTTCGCTTTCGCGGATTTTGACCGTGAAGTGTTTTCGCGCTGCGCAAACTCATCTAATTCTGACACTGGCTATGAATCTTGCCGACGAGCTGCGCGCAAAGACAGCCCACCTGAGGAAGGTGTATCTCAGGGCTAACCTGCTGTGTGCAGTCGGAAGTGGCAGCTGATGTTTGGCTCATCTTTCTTTAAGCTGTTCGCAAGTCAGCATCGGACGTCTGAGATTTGGCTTACTCCAGCTAGGTCGACAGGCTGCTGAGTACTTGTCGGCCCGGCGTTGCTTTCATGCGCAGCGGCGTTTGCCTGTGTTCCTAAAACTACCAAGGCAAAGCTGTGTACCGCCAAGCCGCTTGGCACCCTGCTAAGATTCGGCCTGATCTCAAGAAACCGTGTGTCGGGAGTAGCTCTTTGCAACGCTTGCATGTTGCCAGATGCCGTACAACAAGGCCAGGTCCAAACCATCAAGTCGGGACGGAGTGTTTGCAAGACTCGCTCTGTGAGCCCTTGCAGCAGTGCAAAGAAATCAAATCAAATTGGGGGCACACAGTTCCTTCAAAGGCAAACGGAGCACGTGGCCAATTTTCCATAATGCCACCCCTTTCCATGAGCGCCGCACGATGCAGCCCAACCAATGCTGGAACTGGAGGCAGAGCTTGCCTGGCATTTTCCAAGCTGTCACAGCAGTGCTGAAAAACCCTCCATTCCGAACCCTGCGCTTTGAATAAAGTGCCTTGGCATAATGGCACGAACTGAAATCAAAACAATCATAGTTGTCGGCGGACTAAATTCTCGTGCACCCTGCAACAGGCGCCCATGAATTACAGGCCCTGCCTCCACTGATCCGTGGCCTTGTTGCGGCCTCGCAGCATAAATTCTGGCAGCCCAGTAGCTCTGGTTCCCGAATTTGCGCCCCTAAGGTGAGAAGCCCAAAGAAACACCTCAAGCATCCCAACGGGCTGGCTTCTGGGCGCAGGCACGCTCGAAAGTCTGGGGTTGAGAGTCGCAAGGTTAGCTTGATTCTCAGAGTGTTGAAGGCTGCTTTGGGCAGGCAGGCTTTGGACGTTCACGGCTAGTACAAGCGGGGCCACAAGAGCGACCGACTGTTCGGATACAAAGCAATCAATGTGATAGTCGCTCCGGCATATATCCCTAGAGTACCAACACACGTGCACATGCTCAAAGGCGACCTGGATGTTCACTAAACCCAAAACCCTGAACCCTAAACCCTTTCCAGTAGTCTCGTGCTTAGCAAATGAAAGACATTTCGCTCAACAGCAGAGATCAGTGCGCGCATCATGGTACGTGGCTATCTACTGCTGTCACTTCCGTTCAATGCAACAAAAATCATCTGACAAAGCTGTTTCGGGCGCGTCCTTGTCGGCTGAGAATCTGCAGTTGTCTGCCCGTAACAGCGTGCTCTCTATAACCTTTCACAACGCGCATAGTTGGTCACATCTCGCGTGAACCAGTCAAACCTGCATTATCTCTGTTTGCATGCGTCGGAACGAATCTGAAGCTCTGGAGTGCTGTGCACTCCCTCTTTGACCAGGCCTTCGGAGAGCCAGCCGGCTTCCTCCCACATGTTTGCTTCTCACAGCTTTCTCAACTTGAAGATTCAGAAATACCCGTCTGCAAATTCAGTGTCTTACGTCATGAAAACGGCAAATCGTACCCGACATGCAACACCACTCAAGGACTTATCCACATGCAGGGAGAACGCTCGACCCCGTACCTACTAGCCGGACTGCAAGGGCAAGGACACTTTGAGAGCAATTGGGAGTCACAACGACAATGACACCTCCACAAGAATGCTTCGGGCCAACATGCCTGTCCATGCCCCTGCTACCCCCTCACCCTCCACTCGCACGCATGGCGAGGCATGAAAGACACGTGATGCTCTGCCGAAAAAAGAAGCGGGGCTTCGTCAAAAGAAAGTCACATACTACCCCAATGAGGGCTTAGGGTTTGGGTGGTACCATGCTGCAGCCCAGCGTCGAAGCTTGAAGATCTGGCGTCCGGGAGCGGGCCGATCTCCTGTCAGGAAAACATGGCCCAACCCGTCAACACAAGCTAACAAACGCTCCGTACTCAAAAAAACGACGCACACGTATGGACTGCCCGAAAGGAGATGCAACAAAACTCATGTCAGAAAACCCTTCGACAGTCAGAAAACTGCAATTATTTCTAGCAGCATCCCTCCTTATTCACATTCTTCGAAGGGATCACTTAGCCAGACCCTCTAAATGTTTCGGATCCTGGCCTCTGCTGCGCCACGGGTGCACCTCCACTGTAGTTTGTGACATTGTTGTCTTGGAAGCAAGGATTGTTGCTGATGCTCCACACTCTACACTCCACTTGCTTACTGGCGGTTAGAGCACGGGCGGCTAGATACATACACATATAGCAGTCCCTTCATGGATCATCTCCCTACATCATCCTTGCGTAGGTCGCATATTCCGTCCCGTGATTCCCTGTCCACACATTGCATGAATTTCAATTCCGAACCAGCCAAAGTAACCACGAGTAAGGGCAGGTTCGGGAAGGTGTGGACGGCACGATGGATGAGCTGTAGGCCTCACCTGGTTCTAATACCACGGGCTGGGGGTGCTTCAGAATGAGCGGGAGGCCTTGTATAGTGCTCAACTAAACGGCTTCCACACGGCTAGGACTTTCGAAAAAGAAGTCAGGTAAAGATGCATCGATGCAGCCACCTGTTCCACAATCAAAATCAACAGATGAGGGCGGCTCTCCGTGTGGATAGTTGCTGTTTCCACACAGCCTTGACGCAGTCTGCGAAGCGGGCTGTCCATGGCGCAAGGTGCTGGCAGTGGAGGGCCGATGCAGACTGAGCTGTCAGAACCAAAGAGGCCAACACTACACACCGGAACTTCAGAGATCCAGACTAGACCAGATATTCCAATTGTCGAAAACGGAAAGCTGTCATCACAAGAGCTCCGAAAACTCTTCGAGGCCAAAGTAACGGCAACAAACTTAGCACTGGGGCACCGCTTCGAGGCCAAAGCAACGGCAACAAATTGTACTTCTTAGCACTGGGGCACCGCTTCGAGGCCAAAGTAACGGCAACTCCTTTCTTCTTAGCACTGGGGCCCCGCTTCGAGGCCAAAGTAACGGCAACAAATTGTACTTCTTAGCACTGGGGCACCGCTTCGAGGCCAAAGGAACGGCAACAAACTGTCCTTCTGAGCACTGGGGCACTTCGAGGCCAAAGTAACGGCAACAAACTTAGCACTGGGGCACCGCTTCGAGGCCAAAGTAACGGCAACAAATCGTACTTCTTAGCACTGGGGCACCGCTTCGAGGCCAAAGTAACGGCAACCCGGGTGGGCCTAACTAGAGTTTTGGGGCCCTACCTGTGATCGTACATTTCGGGCAGCCGGGAAATGTACGATGGAGGGGTTTGGCAATGTACTTCCGGCAGGGGCCCCGGTTGTACATAAACACGGGTTTTCGGTGCCAAATCAAGCTTTTTGTTGGTTCAAGTTTCGCAAACCTTCTCAAACCGAGCGTCTCGGCCGCTTCTCCCTTGTGCACGTCAGCATCGCATGGGCTACCACGTTTTGTGTGTTTTCTCCAGTCTTGTGTTATCTGCGCTGTCTCTTGCTCTTGCTCTTTCTCTCTCCCACCTCTTGGTCTCTCTCACTCTCTCTGTCTCTCTCACTCTGGCTCTCTTATTGTCTCTCACTCACTCACTCACTCATTCACTCATTCACTCATGCACTCGTTCGCTCACTCAATTCATTCTCTCTCTCTCTCTCTCCTTCCGTCCTTCCGCAAGGGTTGAATGGGCGAGTTAAGCCCCCGGGGCTTTAGGCCCGCCCGTTTTACGGGTTGAATCTCTCTCTCTCTCTCTCTCTCTCTCTCTCTCTCTCTCTCTCTCTCCTTTCGGAAGGAGGACAAGGACTGCAAACCCGAATCCAACTAAACTTTGCACAGCTTGCGCTCCTTCGGCGGTCCTGCCTTCTCACCCCTCTGTGCAGCAGCTGCTCTTCAGCTGCCGCTGTACATCCACACTCTGGACTGGCAACCCCTGTTCCGCGATCTGCGCGATCGCATTCCAGAGACATATACATATACATATATATACACACAGAGGAAGGATCAGCGGCTTCAAATTGTCCACGGAAGCGTTGCCGCCAGATCTGTGCGCAGCCAATCAGAATCGACGCCTGGAGCCACTTGCAGACAACAGTTGCCGCACGACGGCGCGGCACCCTAGAGTCTAGAGTCTAGGGTTTCTGGTTCCAGTGTTTCTGAGTTTAGGGTTTTCTGGTTCCAGGGTTTGGGGTTGAGGGCTTCAGGGTTTCTGGGCATGGGGTTTCCGGGTTTGGCCTCCAACAACTCAACAGCCTGCAATCCCTCTTCTAAGAAGCCTGACAAGCCCTTCTTTTTGAGTCGGCCGAATTGTACATTGTCCAGTCATAAGGTACAATTCAGCCGACCCGGCCCCGGGGTACCTTTAAGGGTTCCTTTTAAGGGGGTTCCTCTAAGGGTTCCTTTAAGCCCCCAGCCCTCATCCCTCCAAAACCCTAACCCCCAACCCTTAAAGCCGTAATTCTAAATGTAAAGCCTTAAACCCAAAGCCCTAAGCCCTCCCTTAAAGGAAAAGGAACCCTTAAAGGAACCCCCTTAAAAGGAACCCTTAAAGGTACCCCGGGGCCGGGTCGGCTGAATTGTACCTTATGACTGGACAACGTACAATTCGGCCGACTCAAAAAGAAGGGCTTGTCAGGCTTCTTAGAAGAGGGATTGCAGGCTGTTGAGTTGTTGGAGGCCAAACCCGGAAACCCCATGCCCAGAAACCTTGAAGCCCTCAACCCCAAACCCTGGAACCAGAAAACCCTAAACTCAGAAACACTGGAACCAGAAACCCTAGACTCTAGACTCTAGGGTGCCGCGCCGTCGTGCGGCAACTGTTGTCTGCAAGTGGCTCCAGGCGTCGATTCTGATTGGCTGCGCACAGATCTGGCGGCAACGCTTCCGTGGACAATTTGAAGCCGCTGATCCTTCCTCTGTGTGTATATATATGTATATGTATATGTCTCTGGAATGCGATCGCGCAGATCGCGGAACAGGGGTTGCCAGTCCAGAGTGTGGATGTACAGCGGCAGCTGAAGAGCAGCTGCTGCACAGAGGGGTGAGAAGGCAGGACCGCCGAAGGAGCAAAAGATGCGCACAAATGATCTCGTTGCCATGGCGTCAAAGACCAACTGGTCAAGTTTAGTTGGGTTCGGGCTTAGATACTCAAGAGAGAGAAAGAGAGAAAGAAAAAAACGTCAAAGGAGAGACATCGAGAGAAGATGAGGGAAAGAACAAACAGAAGGGAGACAGTCAGATAGAAAAGGGGGGGAGAGAGGGGACAGAAAAAAAAAGATATTCACGAAAGAGAGAAAGAACAGAAGGAGAGAGAGACTGAAAAAGAGAGACACAATCAAAAGGGAGAGAGAGAGAGAGAGTGCGCAAGCACGAGAGCGCGAGCGAGCGAAAAAGGGAGAGAACCGGAGAGCCGAAGCGATGATGATGTGCAGCCGGGAGAAGCGGCAGGATGTGGGGAGGTCGCCGCCACCTAATGACCACTTTCGCATGCACATACCAAAACACAACATAACCTCCGGAATAATGTACGACAAAGGCGGGTCATCGTACATTACCGTCAATATGTAAATTAGCAGCCTGGTGTACGGGCACCCTCGTTGTACATTAGTTGGGCGCCCCCCTACGGCAACAAATTGTACTTCTTAGCACTGGGGCACCGCTTCGAGGCCAAAGGAACGGCAACAAACTGTCCTTCTGAGCACTGGGGCACTTCGAGGCCAAAGTAACGGCAACAAACTTAGCACTGGGGCACCGCTTCGAGGCCAAAGCAACGGCAACAAATTGTACTTCTTAGCACTGGGGCACCGCTTCGAGGCCAAAGTAACGGCAACAAATCGTACTTCTTAGCACTGGGGCACCGCTTCGAGGCCAAAGTAACGGCAACAAATCGTACTTCTGAGCGCTGGGGCACCGCTTCGAGGCCAAATCAACGGCAACAAATCGTACTTCTTAGCATTGGGGCACCGCTTCCAGGCAAAAGTAACGTCGCCCAACAAATTGTACTTCTTAGCACTGGGGCACCGCTTCGAGGCCAAAGTAACGGCAACAAATTGTACTTCTTAGCACTGGGGCATCACTTCGAGGCCAAAGTAACGGCAACAAATTGTACTTCTCAGCACTGGGGCACCGCTTCGAGGCCAAAGTAACAGCAACAAATCGTACTTCTTAGCACTGGGGCACCGCTTCGAGGCCAAAATAACGACAACAAATTGTACTTCTTAGCACTGGGGCACCGCGCAAATCGTACTTCTTAGCACAGGGGCACCGCTTCGAGGCCAAAGTAACGGCAACAAATTGTACTTCTTAGCACTGGGGCACCGCTTCGAAGCCAAAGTAACGGCAACAAGATGTACTTCTTAGCACTGGGGCACCGCTTCGAGGCCAAAGGCCAAAGTAGCGGCAACAAATCGTATTTCTTAGCACTGGAACACCGCTTCGAGGCCAAACTAACGGGGGGGCCCCGCTTCGAGGCCAAAGTAACGGCAACAAATCCCTAACAAATCGCACTTCTTAGGGGGCACCGCTTCGAGGCCAAAGCAACGGCAACAAATCGTACTTCTTAGCACTGGGGCACCGCTTCGAGGCCAAAGTAACGGCAACAAATTGTAATTGTTGGCACTGGGGCACTGCTTCGAGGCCAAAGTACCGGCAACAAATCGCATTTTTTTGCAGTGGGGCACCGCTTCGAGGCCAAAGTAACGGCAACAAACTGTACTTCTTGGCACTGGGGCACCGCTTCGAGGCCAAAGTAACGGCAACAAATTGTACTGCTTAGCACTGGGGCACCACTTATGTAACGGCAACAAGTTGTACTTCTCAGCACCGGGGCACCGCTTCGAGGCCAAAGTAACGGCAACAAATTGTACTTCTCAGCACTGGGGCACCGCTTCGAGTCCAAAGTAGCGGCAACAAACTTAGCTCTGGGGCACCGCTTCGAGGCCAAAGCAACGGCAACAAATTGTACTTCTTAGCACTGGGGCACCGCTTCGAGGCCAAAGTAACGGCAACTCCTTTCTTCTTAGCACTGGGGCCCCGCTTCGACGCCAAAGTAACGGCAACAAATTGTACTTCTTAGCACTGGGGCACCGCTTCGAGGCCAAAGTAACGGCAACAAACTGTCCTTCTTAGCACTGGGGCACTTCGAGGCCAAAGTAACGGCAACAAACTTAGCACTGGGGCACCGCTTCGAGGCCAAAGCAACGGCAACAAATTGTACTTCTTAGCACTGGGGCACCGCTTCGAGGCCAAAGTATCGGCAACAAATCGTACTTCCTAGCACTGGGGCACCGCTTCGAGGCCAAAGTAACGGCAACAAATCGTACTTCTTAGCACTGGGGCCCCGCTTCGAGGCCAAAGCAACGGCAACAAATCGTACTTCTTAGCATTGGGGCACCGCTTCCAGGCCAAAGTAACGTCTCCCAAGAAATTGTACTTCTTAGCACTGGGGCACCGCTTCGAGGCCAAAGTAACGGCAACAAATTGTACTTCTTAGCACTGGGGCATCACTTCGAGGCCAAACTAACGGCAACAAATTGTACTTCTCAGCACTGGGGCACCGCTTCGAGGCCAAAGTAACAGCAACAAATCGTACTTCTTAGCACCGGGGCACCGCTTCGAGGCCAAAATAATGACAACAAATTTTAGTTCTTAGCACTGGGGCACCGCTTCGAGTCCAAAGTAGCGGCAGCAAATCGTACTTCTTAGCACAGGGGCACCGCTTCGAGGCCAAAGTAACGGCAACAAATTGTGTTTCTTAGCACTGGGGCACCGCTTCGAGGCCAAAATAACGACAACAAATTGTACTTCTTAGCACTGGGGCACCGCTTCGAGTCCAAAGTAACGGCAGCAAATCGTACTTCTTAGCACAGGGGCACCGCTTCGAAACCAAAGTAACGAAAACAATATTTACGACACAGCACTGGGACACCGCTTCGAGGCCAAAGTAACGGCAACAAACCGTACTTCCTAGCACTGGGGCACCGCTTCGCAAACAAAACAACGACAACAAATTGTACTTCTTAGCACCGGAACACCGCTTCGAGGCCAAAGTAACGGCAACAAATCGTACTTTTTAGCACTGGGGTACCGCTTCGAGGCCAAAGTAACGGCAACAAACTGTAATTGTTAGCACTGGGGCACTGCTTCGAGGCCAAAGTAACGGCAACAAGCTGTACTTTTTAGCACTGGGGCACCGCTTCGAGGCCAAAGCAACCGCAACAAATTGGAGGCCAATGTAACGGCAACAAGTTGTACTTCTTAGCATTGGGTCACCGCTTCCAGGCCAAAGTAACGGCAACAAACCGTACTTTTTAGCACTGGGGCACCGCTTCGAGGCCAAAGTAACGGCAACAAATCGTACTTCTTAGCACTGGGGCACCGCTTCGAGGCCAAAGTATCGGCAAAAAATCGTACTTCTTAGCACTGGGGCACCGCTTCGAGGCCAAAGTAACGGCAAACCATTGTACTTCGTAGCACTGGGGCACCGCTTCGAGGCCAAAACAACGGCAACAAATCGTACTTGTTAGCACTGGAACACCGCTTCGAGGCCAAACTAGCGGGGGGGCCCCGCTTCGAGGCCAAAGTAATGGCAACAAATCGTACTTCTTAGCAGTGGGGCACCGCTTCGAGGCCAAAACAACCGCAACAAATTGTACTTCTTAGCACTGGGGCACCGCTTCGAGGCCAAACTAACGGCAACAAATTGTACTTCTTAGCACTGGGACACCGCTTCGAGGCCAAGGCAACGAAAACAAACCGTACTTCTTGGCACTGGGGCCCCGCTTCGAGGCCAAAGTAACGGCAACAAATCGTACTTCTTGGCACTGGGGCACCGCTTCGAAGCCAAAGCAACGGCAACAAATCGTACTTCTTAGCACTGGGGCACCGCTTCGAGGCCAAAGTAACGGCAACAATTGTACTTCTTAGCACTGGGGCACTCGAGGCCAAAGTAACGGCAACAACTTGTACTTCTTAGCATTGGGGCACCGCTTCGAGGCCAAAGTAACGGCAACAAATCCTACTTCTTAGCACTGGGGCACCGCTTCGAGGCCAAACTAACGGCAACATATCGTACTTCTTAGCATTGGGGCACCGCTTCGAGTCCAGAGTAACGGCAACAAAACGTACTTCTTAGCACCGGGGCACCGCTTCGAGGCCAAAATAACGGCAACAACTCCTACTTCTTAGCACTGGGGCACCGCTTCGAAGCCAAAGTGACGGCAACAAATCGTACTTCTTAGCGCTGGGGCACCGCTTCGAGGCCAAAGTAACGACAACAAATTTTAGTTCTTAGCACTGGGGCACCGCTTCGAGGCCAAAGTAACGGCAACAAATCGTACTTCTCAGCACTGGGGCACCGCTTCGAGGCCAAATCAACGGCAACAAATCGTACTTCTTAGCACTGGGGCACCGCTTCGAGGCCAAAGTAACGGCAACAAATCGTACTTCTTAGCACTGGTGCACCGATTCGAGGCCAAAGTAACGGCAACAAACTTATACTTCTTAGGATATGGGCACCGCTTCGAGGCCAAGGTACCGACAACAACCGTACTTCTTGGCACTGGGGCCCCGCTTCGAGGCCAAAGTAACGGCAACAAATAGTACTTCTTAGCACTGGGCACCGCTTCGAGGCCAAAGTAACGGCAACAAGTTGTACTTCTTAGCACTGGGGCACCGCTTCGAGGCCAAAGTAACGGCAACAAATCGTACTTGTTAGCACTGGGGCCAAAGCAACGGCAGCAAGTTGTCCTTCTTAGCACTGGGGCACCGCGTCGAGGCCAATGCAACGGCAACAAATCGTACTTCCGAGCGCTGGGGCACCGCTTCGAGGCCAAATCAACGGCAACAAATCGTACTTCTTAGCACTGGGGCACCGCTTCGAGGCCAAAGTAACGGCAACAAATCGTGCTACTGAGCACTGGGGCACCGAAGCCAACGCAACGGCAACAAATTGTACTTGTTAGCACTGGGGCACCGCTTCGAGGCCAAAAAACGGCAACAAATTGTATTTCTTGGTACCGGGGCACCACTTCGAGTCCAGAGTAACGGCAACAAACCGTACTTTTTAGAACAGGGGCACCGCTTCGAGGCCAAAAAACGGCAACAAGTTGTACTTCTCAGCACTGGGGCACCGCTTCGAGGCCAAAGTAACAGCAACAAGTCGTACTTCTTAGCACCGGGGCACTGCTTCGAGGCCAAAGTAACGGCAACAAATTGTACTTGTTAGCACTGGGGCACCGCTTCGAGTCCAAAGTAGCGGCAACAAACTTAGCTCTGGGGCACCGCTTCGAGGCCAAAGTAACGGCAACAAACTTTACTTCTTAGCACTGGGGCACCGCTTCGAGGCCAAAATAACAGCAACAAATCGTGCGTCTTAGCACTGGGGCACCGCTTCGAGGCCAAATCAACGGCAACAAATTGTACTTCTTAGCACTGGAGCACCGCTTCGAGGCCAAAGTAACGGCAACAAATCGTACTTCTTAGCACTGGGGCACCGATTCGAGGCCAAAGTAACGGCAACAAATCGTACTTCTTAGCACTGGGGCACCGCTTCGAGGCCAAGGTAACGACAACAAACCGTACTTCGTGGCACTGGGGCACCGCTTCGAGGCCAAAGTAACGGCAACAAATCGTACTTCTTAGCACTGGGACACCGCTTCGAGGCCAAAGTAACGGCAACAAATCGTACTTCTTAGCACTGGGGCACCGCTTCGAGGCCAAAACAACGCCAACAAAGTGATGCTCCTTAGCATTGGGGCACCGCTTCGAGGCCAAGGTAACGACAACAAACCGTACATCTTGGCACTGGGGCACCGCTTCGAGGCCAAAGTAACGGCAACAAATCGTACTTCTTAGCACTGGGGCACGGCTTCGAGGCCAAATCAACGGCAACAAATTGTACTTCTTAGCACTGGGGCACCGCTTCGAAGCCAAAACAACGGAAACAAATCGTACTTCTTGGCACCGGGGCACCGCTTCGAGGCCAAACTAACGGCAACAAGATGTACTTCTTAGCACTGGGGCACCGCTGCGAGGCCAGAGTAACGACACCAAATCGTACTTTTTAGCACTGGGGCACCGCTTCGAGGCCAAAGTAACGGCAACAGATTGTACTTCTTAGCACTGGGGCACCACTTCGAGGCCAAAGTAACGGCAACAAATTGTACTTCTTAGACCGCTTCGAGGCCAAAGTAACGGCAACAAATCGTACTTCTTAGCAGTGGGGCACCGTTTCGAGGCCAAAATAACGGCAACAAATCGTACTTCTTAGCACTGGGGCACCGCTTCGAGGCCAAGATAACGGCAACAAATCGCACTTCTTAGCACTGGGGCACCGCTTCGAGGCCAAAGTAACGGCAACAAATCGTACTTCTTAGCAATAGGGCACCGCTTCGAGGCCAAAGTAACGGCAACAAATTGTAATTCTTAGCACGGGGGCACCGCTTCGAGGCCAAAGTAACGGCAACAAAACCGCACTTCTTAGCACTGGGGCACCGGTTCGAGGCCAAAGCAACGGCAACAAACCGTACTTTTTAGCACTGGGGCACCGCTTCGAGGCCAAAGCAACGGCAACAAATCGTACTTCGTAGCACTGGGGCACCGCTTCGAGGCCAAAACAACGGCAACAAATCCATACTTCTTAGCAATGGCACACCGCTTCGAGGCCAAAGTAACGGCAACAAATCGAAATTCTTAGCGCTTGGGCACCGCTTCGAGGCCAACGCAACGGCAACACATCGTACTTCTTAGCACTGGGGCTTCGCTTCGGGGCCAAAGCGACGGCAACAAATCGTACTTCTCAGCACAGGGGCAACGCTTTGAGGCCAATGCAACGGCAACAAATCGTACTTCTTAGCACTGGGGTACCGCTCCGAGGTCAAAACAATGGAAACAAATCGCACTGCTCAGCTAGTACTGAAAACCTCCTTCAATCGGTGCTTTTGCTCTGCTCACGCAAAGCTTCGACCCGGGCCATTCAGCCATTGGCAAACCTGGGTGCTTAGGGAACTCAGGACGTCCTAAACCTTGGAGCAAGGGCCACGTTCAGGAAGTTCCGAAAACACTGTCATTCACCATCGTCGAAAGCTGCCCGCCAAACAGTCTACTGTAGAGCACCCCCAAATCTTATCTTTGGCTTTCCTCTGTCCGTTCCTAGTTTGTTCGTGCATGTTTGTGGATTGACAGCGTTTAGCCTCTGGAACGGCTAATCCAAGGCGCAGCCGTGGCTGTCTCGCGCTCGTCTGCGGGCCGTTTGTCTGGATGCCACCTGCTGGCTGGAGGGGCTTGCGCGAAAGGCTTCCAGGGCTCAGGAGCAGGCCAGGTGCTGAACAAGATCATGGCTTTGGGCTGGATGAACTCAGCCGGGGCGCTCCAGCAAGAACTGCTTTCGGGCACGTCCACGCGTAGCAGCAGACTGGGTCCTGCAAGTCGGGAAAAACTGGATGTGGGGATTGTTGTAAACCCAATCGGCATGGGCAACAGGTTCCATGAAAGATCATCTTTCGCTCGCCCTTCCCCGCCTTACACGCACACAGTAACTGGGTTGTCCACAGGCAAAGCTGTTGATCACATCATGTGGTGACTGGCGAACAGCTACAGCCTACAGCATCTGTCGAAGGTCTGAGACCCTATGATACTATGGGACCTCCATGTTGCTTCAGCTGGCCCTTCGGTGCGCTCGATGCCTGTGCCTGTGTTAGAAAGAACCCCCTTCATGAACAAGCCAAATAAGCTAAAGGAACCCTGGCTTGTTATGTGGAGCCATGTGATGCACTACACAGCCCTGCACAAGGCGGACTTGGCATTCCATTGCGCTGTTCATTGACATGGTAGCTGCAGCGCGCCAGGCACGGCATTAACTACATGCCCTGCTCACACGAGCGGACACCTGGTAACCTAGTAAGCAACGCTCGGTGTTTCAGGATCCCGCCGCCTCAGCGCGGTGGCAAGCCGCGCGGTGATGGCGGCGGCTCCCCGAGGCAAGACCTGAAACTGAACCCAAAGCCTTCTGCAATGCCCGTCGTTTGCTGCTTTACATGTCCTACAGGAGCAGGCCTACATGGAAGACTATGCGAGAGAGCTCGTGACTTTCACATCCCTCATCCCGTCTGGCCTTTTCCTCCTGCCTTCTCTGCTCCTCGTCGGCCTTGTTGGCTAACTCCTGTCGGCTTACCAAGTCTTAGCAACATGGATCTCGGATTCTGAGACTCTGCTTAACCCTATAGTGTTTGACATTGCTCTGACCATCCTGTTGACCTGGAGATGCATGCGGTCCAGGACCGAAACCCAGGCCACATAGCAGGATGCGCTGACATACTTTTGATTTCTTCTGGGTAGCACAGCAGCCCACCCGCTTGAAGAAGATGGGTTCTCTAAAGGAAGGAACAGTGCAAGCATATTGTCCTTGAGGTAGTCCCGCCACTCTACCTGCTTCAAGAGGAAAGGATTCAGCGGCTCTGCAATCGCAGGGTGAGGAGGGGGGCGGGGGGGATGAAACAGCTTGTTGCCCAGTCTCTGATGCATGTTGCCCGACGCTCAAAGTTCTAGTCAATTCTTCCAGCATGAGCTGACTGTAGCGCTAGGCTAGGCTGGAGGCTGGCAGCACTTAGGTTACATCGCAACCTAGGGAGTACATCCGGAGTGCTCAGTGTCTACAGAGGTGCCCCGGACATTGTCCCGGAAAGCTCTGTGTTTGTGTTGCCATGGCATCCAGTACAGCGTATGAAGATGTTATGGAGGAGTATTCAGCCGAGCTCGCACACTTTTTCAACCAGATGCCACAAACGCGCGCAAGCTTGGTAGTCGTCGTCGTCGCATTCATTAGCAGTGATATCTTTAGTAGCGGTAAGTGGTGTCGGAGTCAGAGCGCTGGAACAGCAGCAGGTGCAACTACACAACTGCTGGAAGTCTGCCATGCATGCTGGCCTCTAAACGAGCTGCCATCTCTGCCAGCTCTTTGCACCTGTCGAGACAACGCTGGGTGGCTGCTTTCTGCCCGGGCATTGTCCAACAAGCCGAAACAGATAACTATGGCTCATACAAGTCAATTGCAAACCCGACTGCCCATCCTACCATGCACCCCCAGCCCCCATGGACTCTATCCGGACTGGAACAGATTTTGAAGCACCTCCGAGTTTCGATGCTCGCCTGCTGGAGCTGCTCTTCGAGCAACTCTGCCTCGGTCAATGCAGGCGAATCCCCCCGAGCCTGTACAGAGCGCTGAGATGTTGTGGCTGCCTGGTCTACCTGAGTCTACCTTACAGATATCTTGCCCCAAACTGTGAGTGGGAACCTGCATGCAAAAGCAATACGAAGCTACGTTTTGCCACTCTTCAGGTGAGGTGCAACCAAGTCGACTTTGGAGTCGTCGCTCTTTCGACCCTGCTTTGTGCTCTGATGACTGCCCACGTCTCGCCCAAACATACCAAAGACGTTCGAGTCGAAGTCATAGTCCACTGGAGCTGCTCTCTCCTCGTCAAGCTCTGCCTCTTCAGCAATCGGCGAAAGGTGCCCACAGTTCAGGCTCCTGGTCTGGGCACTCGAACTGCGATGCTTAGAGGACCCCGGACCCTATAACCCCTACAACTGTGGACAAGTGGATGTGCTGGCGGACATGTCCGGAAGTCCTGAGCTTCTTAGCCTTGGCAGCTGTGATCTTGGCAGCCTGTTCGGCAGTGGAAAGGCTTGTGTAGCTTGTGATGACTTTGTTTGTGTGGTTGCTTTTGTAACTTGGCATATATGCGTCCTTTAACCGGAACTTCGGACAGGCCTCGGCAGGCCGACAAAATGCCTCCGTCTTGGGTGATATCCGTGCATGATCACCCCAGCGCTAGCTACACAATGTCCAATTCCCAGATAGGAACTTCGCACCCCACTCCTGCAATTCCACGATCCGGCCTTGGGTTTGTTAGGGCTTGGTAGGGCTTAGCCCTATCCACGAGCTAACAAACGATTCAGTCCTATAAGATGGAAAATTACGACCGGTACCAAAGAGCCCTACAACTCCCACTGCCTCCTGCTTCTTGTTCTGCTCCTCTTGCTGCTGTGCCTCGGCAGTAAAACAAACACGCCGATGCACAACACATTTACAACTGGTTGCGTGTGCTTGTATTGTGGCTCTGGCCTTTGTGTACACTGATACTCCTTTCACAATCCCTTCGCAGAGCTTTTCGATTACCTTCGTACTGTGTGCTGCAATTTTCCGGGGGATGGGGGTGATCATGTTGAAGACTGTGCGAGGGCTCAGTCGAAATTCCACATTCTGTCTCATCCGTCTGGCCTCCGCCTCTTCGAGGGCCACGAAGTCAAAGTAGGCATCGTCCTGGTCGGCGAAAGGAATTTGTGTGGCAAATCTTACTTCCTCGCCGAACTAGCCTGTTTGGACTGGGAGTCCTGTGCTTGCTTCTGCTGCCTCCGACAGGAATATCAAACATCCCTCAATGGCTCAACGGCACGGCTGCTACGAGTGCCCTGAGATGCTTGCAACCTGCAGCTCCGGACGGATTAGCTGATGCGCGCCTTGCTCGGAACCTGACCACCGCGATGCGGCCCCTCCGCGACGGACGATAGATTTAGATCCTGTCTGCGACCCGGCACCAGGAGAGGGTCTCTGGGTGGGGTGGCTGGGAATGAACCGATGACCTCCCACTTCGTAGGTGACTTTCCGATATGAAACTGCGCGTCACCCAAACCCCAAACCCACCACGACAGCAACTGTGCCTTGCGAGATGTGGACTTTGCCTCTCAGATCAACCCAGAGCTCGACTGCTGGGTTCCGCCACAGCTTGCGTGAAGCCTAACACCGGGAGGTCGCTCCTCCCCGCCGGGCCCAACAGGCTTCGCATGCGAGACGGTCCTCAAAGCGCCGTTTCCAGGCTTTCGGCTTCAAGGTTCGAGGCTCAAGGGCTTTGGACATCCGACCGGATTTCTGCATCTGAGGAATTTCGCAGAGACGCAGGTCCTACGTTGCGGAGTGTTCTGAAGCTTCGAGGATACCCTCGCCTTGAACCCCAATGCCCCAATGTGCAGCTAGCTAGTTCAATGACCACGCGATAACTTACATCTCTCAGCATGACATCGGGTTGACACGACCTGAACACAGAGTCTTGAAGCCGTCTCAGCCCAAGCGAAGACGTGCAGAATCGCACAGAAACTCAACCCCCAAAAAAACTTCAAAACCCAAATTAGGAACCAAAACTAGGTGAAAGGCACAATCTCTGTGTGTGTCTCTGGACTGGACTGGACTGGACTTAAGAAGTGCAGGCAGTCGCACCCCGTGCACCCGCCTCGAAACCTGTTTGTGCTCCGGGGCATCATGAAAAACAAGGGCTTGACTGATAAACTTGAGCTCTTAGTTTCCAAGGCCTGTGCGAAAATCGTCTTTTGCGTAAAAAGACAAGCATACCCTAATTCACAGCCCTGCCAGTCGTGCGTTGGCCTTGCTTACTCACATGTTGCAGTGGCCCCCGGCAGCAAAGTCGGAGTGGGTCCTTTTTCTTCATCGGGTCACGATTCCAAAGGCGCTCAGCTGAGGCCTGGACTGCGGGCGCTGCCGAGTCGATGTCATGAGGCAAGCTTGCGGCAGCTGCCCTGCCTCCAGCGAAGTCGCGACAGGAAGTTACAGGGGAGGGGTTCAGGGTTGAGCTATTCAGGGCTTCCAGAGCGCTTTGCCCGTCGATCAGTCTTCTAGGTGCGAGTGCGAACCACTCGACCATCCTGCAAAACGTGACGAAGGCATTCGTGCCCTACATTCCCCTGCCACACAATGGTCATCCCCACAGGGAAGCCGAGCTTTGTGACCTCTTGTAGAAGAGGTGCTGAAGGCTCTTGACTTGAGGCATCGTTTCTTACATGGTTTGCCTCGCTCCTTGCTCCTTGGAAAGTTCATGTCGATATTGCTGGATTAAGGCTTCGTGGCACTACATGCCGCTGCAGCTACGCAGGGCTCACCAGAAAAGATTGGCAGCCATTCGAGTGCTCGGTGCCGACTTGGGTTTGGAGGGTATGGTGGGAATTGAGTACGCGGGAATTGGGTTCGGTTCTGGGTTTCTATGGTTTCTGCATCATCGAAGGAGTTCACTACTGGGCTGCGGTGCACTGGCCCAAATCTGCCGAGGCCTCGGCGATCGATTGAGGCGACCCCCTGGCCTGCCGGTATCGTTGCGTCTTGTTCTTGTTCCGCTTCCCCCTAACGTGGCTTGGGGGCCGTGTTGGCCCAGGGCCGCCAAGGTTCTACACTCTAACGCTAGCACGCTCCAGGCTGAATTAGCTTCGGACATAGTTACAAGATGCACTTCTGCCTCTGAAGCATGATCTTGCTGTCCGTCGCATTGCAGTATGTTGTCGTTTGCTGCCTTACCGTCCAACACCGCGCTTTCCTAGTTTTGCCAATCAAAGAACAACACCGACCCCGTGCCAAAAGCCGTGTAAAGAGCTTCTGGCCTTTGGGCTTTCAGGGATTGCCCAAAACCCCCAGCCCAAAACCCTTGAGATCTGGAGTTCGTTTTGCGTTCACGGGTTGCAGCGTCGGAGTTGAAGCCGGCAATGCTGAAGCAGCCTTAGGACCAGGGTACTACGGTTGATGATATAAATCCTGCATTGCCTCAAGGACCATAAACTATGCGAATTTTGGTATATTCCTTCTTATGGGCAATGCAAGATTTGTATCCTCAACCCTAGGTTCGGGAATCCTGACACTAGCCCTCCGAAACCACAGCGACTCCCCCTGCAGCTCTGGCCTCAAGCAGCTCCAGTTCGTCGAAATCGAACATTGCGGGGGGGGGTTGATCCTGGAGGCTGCCCTTGCAGGGAAAGACTGCACATGGAGCCGAAAGGCGGGATGTTTCATGTTGGCTCCAGAATACTCGCCATGGTGTAGCTGATCTGAAACGGACCTTAAAACGACAACACCCCCCAATCTATGCCCCAGGCCTTCAAAAAATTGAGATCAAAGCTCCAGACTAAAGCAGATTTTCCAACTGTCGAAGACGGGAATCTGTCATCACAAGAGCTCAGAAGGTGAGAGGCCCACGAAGGATCCACAGGAGCCAGAACACAGCAGCATTCCCCTTCCGTTGTACCTTTTCAGCCAGCCCCAGGAGAAGATTCTGTGCTACCCGAAGGCCGAAAAGCTCCAACTCGTACAGAACTCAGAAGCCCTGACTTCGATAAGCTCATTCATGATGCGTGCCTTTGGGGGCCTAGATGGGAGTAAACGGCTATTGGTTTTAATAGTTCTAATGTCTACTTTAGACTTGTCGTTCTGGTGGTGGTTCTTGCGGAAATCTCACTGTCATATGGCAGTGGTGTTAGGGCTTGAACCCTTGGTATTTCTGGGTTACCATTCTCACTGAACTTTACGTACGCTTTCGGTGGCTCCTTGAAGGAGCACGAGCTTCTAAGTCTGGAAAGCAACTTTGGCCTTCACTAGGTTCGCATGATAAGCTTTAGAGAGCTCTGCTATGCTTGAAGTTCTTGAAGGTCCTCTTGCTGTGACTACCCCCGACCGAAGCACGTTTAGCGATTGCATGCGAAACTGTGAGACAGCTTTGTGACGGACTCCTTGGACATATCTAAATCAGATGCACTCTTCTTGTCGAGTCATCCAAACCTGCGCAGTGGCCGCTTTGCAAAGCATTGCCTGAACATGACACACTCTGGCCGGATGGCTTCAACAGGTCTACAATCCTTTGATCTGAATTTTGCCACGTCTCTACGGCCTTCGCAGGGTCGAAGCCTCGCGAGAGAAGTGCTTGGTGCTCTGTGCCGAACTCTACGAAAGACCCACACCCTGCTGCCTCGGCCTTTACTCTGGAAACCTTCTTATCACCTTACCGGGGACGACGTCGCACACGCTCACAAGCCACGCCCGGTCGTCTAGACAGCCCTGGAACCGGCAGTATTTGTCTCAGAGACGTCTGTCATGATCGGAAACTGTCGAAATCGTGCAGAAAGATCCCCGCAAACCGGTCCGAACTACAAGCCAGAGATCCAACTGAACTACGGCAAGTCGCTCGACCGGTGAGCAGAAGATCTGCCTGTATTCACTGCCTGTATGGAAAATGCTGAGGACGGAGGGGCTAGCTGGGACTTTTGATTGGGGTCGATGGCGCAGGAGTTGGGAAACAAGACATTCGATGGATGCCCAATGCTTCGCAGTCCTAAATACAAGAACCCCTGGCAGTATGCTGTGTTTATACCATGCGAATGATGCACTGGCCCTTTTCAGGACCGGGGGATCGTCACTCATCTGAAGCCCGTTGAGATCTCCAAGGCCTGCTTACGGATGGAAACCCCAAGTTTTAAGAAGCTATGACTCGGGCAGGTCGCATCGATCAGGCGACGGGAATTCCACTGTGGACGGCGGCCGCAAGTCGATTTACCTCATTGACGGAAGTCGACTGACAACATCAGAAACTACCACAACTTTGCAAAGCTCTGCAGCTGTCCAACATCATTGTGCACAAGCAGCGAAGAATCCCCTAGAGTTGTCGAACACGCGGGTGTCTGCAGCGTTTCCCTCGTCATTCTCCAGACTTTAGACGTTCTCGCAGCTCCGTCGTGCATCCAGCAACTCACTCGTACGCACCTCAATCTGTACAGGCGGGGAAGGAGGAACCGCGTCTCTTGCTGCACTCACGCTTGTGGGACTCCTGGCGCTAGTTGCCGGCAGCGACGGGCTTGTTGTCTTGGAAACCCCTGCATCCAGCTAGCTCTGCTAGAAGGATCATTCTCACATCGACAACGCCAGTTCATGACAACAGGACAGCATTCACAACGGCCGGTAGTTGAGCGGCGAAGAACAAGCACTGAATACAGAACGACGTGATGCCGGCACAGCCCAGGAGTCACCAACGAGGCTCTGACGCTGTGACTGTTTCGCCTGAGCAGTCACGGAAATTCTTCAAGTCCAAAAGTCGGCTTTCATCTGGCCTCGGTTTCCTCGTACTCTGCTAACTCGTTGAGGGGCAACCGGCTAAGTCATGCTCAGACGCCTAAGTCATGCTTGATCGCAGCCTTTTTCTGAGAAAACTGTCTTCCAAAGGTAAGCTTTGGCACTCCATCATGTCGACGACCATCGATTGTTTGACTCCCTGCTGGCAAAAAGGCAGTTGGACGGAGTCATGTACCAACCTGAACCACAAAAACAATCACCTCCATGAGGATGCCCATGGGGATCGCCTCACAGCATCTCATCAAAGCGCTCTAATTTCGCAGCAGTCTCCTATGCAAGAAGAGCAGGCTTCCGTGTGCCTTACTACGTCTTGAAACCAAGCAATGGCTGCCGTCGTCGCGCTTTACAAGCTGAGATCCGGGCAAAACCCGTGGTGCCTGAGCGATCGTGCAGACTCTGGGCCCTGAAAGCACATCTCGGAGCACGGAGTCACAGGTAGGGCCGGTAGGGCGCTGACCACAAAGAGCTGTGCAGATGCAGACCTTGCAGCGCCAGTGCAGAGGTTCCCTGTCTCAAGTCAGCTGGCTGCCGTGCACAAAGCGTACCCCAGAGCTCCGCTGAGGCCAGGGCACGGGAGCCAGCTCCTCGAGAAAAGTCTGCTAGGGTCCACTCTCCTGAAGCAGGCGGGGTTTCTATCAGCATTGCTTTGGTCCGACGGGACTTTTTCTGCACATCGTCCTATAAGGAAGGAAGAGGTCCAATACATGGACGAGGGCACCGATGCAAAGAAGGCCTGCGCCGCGGAATCGACAGTACACTGCTTCGGCACATCTGAAACTAAGCCGCAAGCAAAGGCACCTGGGAGGGCGATTTCCAGGAGTTCTCCGTGAAAACGAAGAGGCTCGAGATCACCACCCAGATTTGAAGCGACATGAACACCGGCACCTTACACGGCAACACTGCCGGATCGGCACCCGTAAGCCCGCAAGTACGCACCTGCCCCCCATCCCAAAATGCCGAAGTGCTCAGCCGGGAGCCTTGATGTGCTTCCTTGCAGTGAGTCGTCTGAAATCCTCAGCCAATCAGGTTGAAGACATTAAAATGAAACAGACCTATTGTGGCACATGGCTTCTCAGATCACAGGTTTGCTCTGCCACCCGGTTCTGCGCAAACACTCTCCTACACGGATGAACGCCTAGCTTGTGTGTCAAGCCATCCGCCAGCGCATGATGTTCACCTAAAACACCACTGGGACCCTGACTCGCCTCCGCTGTTTGTCCCGCCTGGTCTCCTGCGATTCTGCTGCTCGGCCAAGGGGTTGCAACTGTCCTGATGCAGAACCTGCCCTGAACCAGCCCAGTCATATCGCCATATCCAATCCAACCTGGCTGTGCATTCCAGGGATGTCTAGCGCACTTGCAAAGAAGCATCGAACGTCTAGCAATCCAACCTGCGATAGAAGTTCGTGCAGGAGCTTTGTCCTCTGGCGTCACAACTAGCCGAGGAGAAGTTGGCACCTCAGCTAAAACGTGCATTACCCAACTGGGTCTCGCCCTCTTCCCTACACATCTGAACGATATACGGGTCCCTTTCCCACCACGCCCCAACGAGCTGACCAAAAGACGACGGCACAGTTCACAGCATCGCATTCTACCAAACCCAAAACCGGCAAGACTGACCGCAACGCTGGATTAACTGAAAGGAACGTGGATCGTCCCCAAAGAATCCACATGTTGCAGTGTCACCTGACAAACGAGACGCTGGCTAACTGCACCCGGTCTGATTAAACAAAACCACGCCGCTGCCTCGGCTCCGCTTTGTTCTGCTTCTGCATCTTCACCGTCGATCTGGTGGCGGCGGAAAGTGGCATTCCGGAGATTGAGACAAGTCGCGTGTTGTTTGGGGGACGCTCTGAGGTGGGAGCTCTTGAGTCTATAGACCTCAGGTCCATGCGATATGATATGGTAGAAACCTGATACTACCCACTCATTCGGCCTGTCCCAAGCCCGATCACGCTCTTCAGACGCAAAGCCAGCGGGCCTGCACGAAGGCGGGGACACTGCTGGATCGGCTGACCTCACTGGCCCAAGACTGATTCCAGGCACCTTTCGATCACTTTCACGTTGCATGTCACGAAACAAGAGCTTTCTTCAGGGTTATAGCACCCATTCGTACCGTCTCTGCCATTCGTACCGTCTCTGCAAACTACAAAACTCTGCCTGAGCGTCATGTTAAGAGCTGTACGATCAACTGTCCGGCGGTTGTCGGTACCTGCAGACGTGTGGATTACTAATTTTGGAAAGCAAAGCCACAGAACTTGCGGATGTTGCAACCGCTCCCGACCCTGTCCAGGATGGAATCAAAGCAGGAATAGCCGGCGGGGCTTCTTGAAGTGCTGAAAACATTCCCTCTTCCAGAGGCGGCGCCGTCATGCGGAAGTGACCCCGGATACTGCACCACCCTTCACCACATACAGGTAGCGCACCGGTCATTCCAGAAATTGTCTCTCACTGCCTTCGGATATGTGGCTTCGGCCTTCCTGGCGGCTGTGTAATTAGAAGCCTTGGAAGCCACCTGCCTTCAAGCACGTTCTGCGTGATGGCTCAGGTGGCGCAGTGCAGGAAAAGTGAACAAACACCCCTCGAAGAAAGGAAAACAACCCAACCGTTCACGTGCTGCAGGAAAGGAGCCGAAGGGTGCAATGCAAGAGCGATAGACGCGTCGGAGGCAGGCAAGGCACGACGAGAAGGCACCAACACCGTAAACCATGCGAGGGGCTGCATCGAGAACAATCGACTTCTGATGCGTGCACGTGCACGTGGCTGATTGAGGCCACTCCGGTCCCCGGTCAGCTTCAGTCTCAAGTTGTACGTCATACTTGCATTCGTCCATCCGCTGTGAAATAGACCTCACCTTCCATTAAGGCCATTAAGCTGGTCATGCTTACCTGCCGACGTAGGCAGAACTCCTCCCTGCAAGCATTGAAGCAAAGAGTCTTGCCTCCACCATCCGCGGCAGCGTGCCCGTGCCATCTTGCATGATGCCTAAAACAGTGTACGATAGTGCCTTCTTGTTTGTTGAACTGCCGCACTTGCAAGTCTGGCTCGTCTTGGTTGCGTAGCTCCTGCATAAGGCCACATTAAGCCGATTTTCTTGGCAAAGTTGCTGCTAGGAGTGGAAGCACAGCAGATTCCAACATTTTGCGCAAATGGCTGAGGGCGGTTCTGCGGGGTTCTAACACATATTTTGGGGCTCCCGGTCTACAACGCAACGTGGCATTGCCCTACCCAAGACATCCTCAACATAACCCACCCAAAGCCCTGCATTCCGCACGCAACGCTCTCATATTAGGGATCCGCACTGCTCTGAAAAAAACGCTTAGAGGCTCATGGGCAGGTAGAGTCTTGGTCAGCTGATCTAAAAAGCTTCGTCGCGGAGTTGCATTTCTCGCGAAAAATTCTCGTATTGGTATTAGCTATATGCAGAGAGTACTTAGCTGATTGTTGAAAGGAGCAGGTGTGGCAGCAGAGCCGATGCCACGAGCATAAACGATGCAACAGAACCCAAAGAAAGAACATATTGAGACCCACTTGGGGCTCAGAGGAGGTCAAGAATTGACGATTAACCAGAAAATCTTTAAAGAACTGAAACAAGGGACAAAGTAGCAAACCAAGATTCAGTCCAACCCGCAGCCTTCAACTCACTCGAATCCCTAAACTCCTAAACTTGTTTGTGGCCGAACAGAACCACCGACGAGAAGTAAATAGCAATCTCCCTTTTTTAGCAATCAGAAAAAGGAATCTATATATATATATATATATATGTCTTATAAGTCAAACATCGTAACAAGAAAGCAGCGATTAGTTACAACATGTTACAACCGAACGCATCGAAATACGAACCTTTTTGTATATGACTATTATTTTACTGCTTATCCCTTTATAAATGTGCGTATATATGTACGTGCGGCCAGTAGCTTCTGAATTTAATAACCGGAGTGACGCTTGGATTTAGGATCTAGAGTTGAGGACTTAAGATCAAGGAGTGAGGCAGGAAAGTTATGAGTTTAGGTGCGATGCCCGAAACCTCATGTCTAAAGCCAGATATGGCATGTGCTCTCGCAGCCGTTCAGTGTTATTGACGCTCTCACAGCGCTTGAACTTCTGTGTTTATCATGTAGCTACATCTGCTCGAAACCCTGTACTTCGCCCCTCAACTTACATAAGTTATGACCTCACCATGAACGCCAACACCGGGGCCAGTAATCTGCTACATTTCGCTTGCAAACCATCTAAACTTCCGCGGGGTGCCAACGTTTTCCGCCTCACTGCTTCCGCTATGTCACGAAGCGCATCAGGCACGAGTTTTGATGTCGCAGCGCATTGGCTGCCGTTGGCAAGCCCTGAGGCAACTTCACATGCTCAAAACGTCATGGTAGGAATGCGCGTGAAGCCCGCATGCGAAAGTCTGTTGAAGAGAGGCCATGCAAACTAGGTTGACGAAAGTTGGTCTCGGTGACCGCCTTTGATCGCAGCCTTGCTCATGCAAAGTTGCTGCAGCTGCACGCGCTCGAATAGAGAGCTGCGACATGCTGAACAAGGATTTGCCTTCAAGATGCGACTCATGGTGGCGGGGCTTCGGCGCGGGGTTGCTCTCCGTCCCGCCGCACTGCAGCAGTATTGCAATACGACCATGCAGTGATGGAACCCTGGCACTGTCAGGGCTACGCGGCTACATTAAGCGACATGTCAGTCGCACCCACTGCCCGATCCACCGTGCGGCACTATGCGTGATTGAAAACAAAGAGTTGCTGCATGACCTCGCTCACCTTTAGCAATCTGATTTCCTGAGAGAGCCATGCTTTCCTCGACGGTGCGACTTATGCAACACGACCACCGGACCACATTCCCCGGATTGGGCAATCCGACGAGCAGTCTGGGGAGCGGAGTCAAGTCATGACGAGACTCTAAACATGCCGACAAAAGCCGAAAATGTCCCGGCCGGCCCTGTCGTAATGGGAGCTAAGCTCCAGAATCCGAGGACCTCAGACCTTTTTGGCAGCGGGCTTGCCGCCCGGGAGCTCCCTCTGCTCAGAACCCTCGAAACCCCTGGAACTCATGCCAAATCGTCACTTCCCAAGTCCGCTTCACGTCGCAGCTGAGCAGGTAAGCTTTAGGGGGTTCAGGCTCTACGAGGTCAGGCCTCTTGGAGAAAAGGGCCACGGAAGAGCCAGCTCTGGAAGCCACCTCTTGCCCGCCGTCTCGGTGACATCTAGATTGATGAAGAAGTTGGTCTCGCTGGAGGTGCTGATCACCGCGGTGAACAACACAGCTTTGATGAAGTTGGATCAGTATTGAAGTGTCCAAGCATGATCAACTGGTCCGATCAAGCTGGCACCAATCGTTTGGTCAAATCTGGTCGTTCTCAATTTGGTTCCAGTCTACTTGATCAACTCAATCTTTCACGCCCTTGATCGGCAATTTGACCCACCGATCCCCAAACGAATCCACTACGTACGGATCCAGAGCCGGTGCTGCACAGGCCAACACACCAGTTTTGGAGCCATGACAGCATGTGCCAAGGATGTAGCAATCAAGGTTCAGATCATCTTCAGAGCCGCAGCATCTTAGTGCACGTTGCCACCAGGGAGGTGTTGGAAGACTTCACACAGGCCTGTACATATCCCCTGCCATAGGCATATGGGGGAGCTTCATCTAAACGAAGCTGCAGTTGGAGCAGAGGTGCTTTCACGACAGGCAGGGCCCCCTGGAAGAAGCACATGGTGCAGATTGGACCAGAGCAGGTTGGATCCACCCGACTCGCTAGGTTGGAATTTGGAAATCTACCACTCTATCTCATCTCCATCGAGACATGCGCTCGGGTTCAACGTGCAACTTTCTATGTCGCGGTGCTTGACAACCGAGCGAGACTGGCAGCCGGGAGGCATGTCCTTATAATGGCTTCTGACTGTCCGAGCTGTGCATCTGCCAAGCACAAAATCGGGTCAAGGCGCTAGACTTCAAAGTTCCCGAAGGCGGAAGAATGCTCTCAAAGGCTCAAAGGGAGATGTCTTGTCTCTTCGCGTTGTGGTGAGGCTCCGGACTTCGGCGAAATGTCAGACCGTCAGCTCCAGATCGTAAGGAACAGCACTCGTGAATGTTGATGGAGGTCTTGCCGAGCTGCAGCCTGCGGCGCAAGACAGGGGACACATGTCACATCCATTGCAGCGGCCTGCGAATCTGAGAAGCATGGCGTCTCAGGTACAGTGATCAAACCTGGCCGCTGTGCCCCACACCGGATCAGCTCACATCTACTACGAAGTCAGGGTGGGAAAATTGTGTTTTTGGATGTATTTGGAGTAAAACCCACCCAGAAGAGAGAGGCCGGCAACACAGGGTGTCTCAGGCAGGAGCAGCCGGAGCAGCGTGGCACCGACACTACCTTCAAGCGAGTCAACCTTGCACCTGCAAGCCAAACTTTACCTAGTCTGAACGTGTGTGGCGCTACGCCTCTGCCGATCAGCAGTTCCAGGAGCCGGGTGAAGTCATGACGAGAACCGAAAGATGCCGAAGAAAGCCGACAATGTCCCGGCCGGCCCTGTCCCAAGAGGAGCTAAACTCCAGAATCCGAGGACCTCACAGCCCTAGACCTAGACTCGTCAATTCCCCAGTCGGCTTGCCGTCTTCGCGGCTGAGCGGGCAAGCTTTGGGGTTTTCAGGCTTTACAAGGTCA